GATTTTTTTTGCATTGTCTTTAAAACAAGTTAAAACTTATTGATGTAAATATTAAGTAACTTTTACAGAGTTCTAACAAATATTTACAGTCAAAATTTACAGTCTTTATTGTGTCAAAGCTTTTCATCTAGTCGTGTCAAACTTCAATTATGATATAAATTTAGTAGAACTTTTATTTTGATAAAGTACTGATGCATTTTAATTTTAGGAGAAATAAATGTGAAGCAGAAATTATATGTTCATTATATTAAAACCATCTGTATTTGAAAAATACTATCTTAGGCAATAAAAACAAATGTAGCATCAATTAAATAAAATAATTTAAACTAAAAATAAATAACCCAAAATTTATTCTTTTTTTTCCCCAAAATTATTCGTAAGAGAGAAAAGTCACCTGTCTTGCTGGGGTGGGCAACGTCTGAGGTATCCCTGCTGCAAACCTGAATCAAACCTGGGGGTGCCCTGATGCCCTGAGCCCTCACAGTTTAACCTGCCTTCTTCCTTAGGCAACTGATGATTCCAGGATCCCTGATACTCTTGGGCTTCTGCCCAGAGCTGCATGTGGAAAAACAGGGTTCTCTTCAGGAAAGCTGGAATTTAAACTCTGCTTGAGCCAAGGTTGTCGATTGTGACCATTTTCTTAGCTCACAGAGCTGTCAGTTGGCAGAGCTGACAGCCAACTTCTTTGGGCTTGGCTCCTCATAACTGATAATCTGTCTTTGATGAAGGAAGTAGTTCTTTCTGCCATCTTCTGATGTAAATGGCTGATATTTTTGTATACTTTGGGGAGTGTCCTCTCTTTCCCTGAGAAAACGCCCTCCATGATTGATTTTCTGTGAAGCTGCATGACATTCTTGATGTAGCTCAAGTAGCATTTGAAGTTTCAGCTGAAACGTTTTTGAAGCTCATTTTCAAAGTACGAATTTTTACTTGTTCATATGATTGTTCAGGCTGGAAACTTTTTATCTGACCCATCAGCTCTTTATTCATTTGATTTCCTTTACATAATTTAAAAAGTGCCCTCATTTTACTCCTTTAGGCCATGGAATCAGAATCTCCAAGGATCAGGGCCTGGATGCCTTCATTGTGAACCTTGCTGACTTTCACGGCGACTGTTCAGTCTGCCTCATTCTTACCTTACATTATTAGAGGTGGTCTTCTCAATGACTGACTGTTGCTCATGCTGAATGTTCTGCTTGGAATAGCTTTTTGTGAGTCTTGCATAAAAAATAAATTCCTGTTCTTCTTCTAAGTATACCTTGAAAATGGTCACAGTGTCTTTTGGCCTCTATAATCCTGTCCCCACAAATACTCAACACACTCTAGTTTCCCCATGTAAGCACCCTTAGCCCTCTGTATATTGGTCATAAATCCAATATATTCACTTACCTACTTATGCCCCCTCACATATCATCCCAAATCCCGAGTTCCTCAGAGAAATGGATGTTATTTTTAACCTCCAGAACTGATCTGTGTCTGATATCTATTGTGCACTTGATAAAAGTTGCATTAGTGGATATTTTTTTAAATTTACCAATCTCATGATTAGCAAATTAAATATGATTCAGTAGGGCATTATTTTGTACTTTCTGTATGAATAGATTTCTAGCTTAAAAGAAAAAAAGTACCTATTTTTAAATTTGAAATTGTGCCAAGACATAAAAAACAACAGAAAACAGCCATGTACATCTCAGGGCAACCTGATGGATTAATTACAATTTATTTTGGATTCAATTATGCCATGTTAAATAGTCTACAGCACCACAAAACAACATTAAATGAAGATTTTATGTGCATTTATATTGACTTCTTTATTTAATCAGGGCAATAATTTTATAGGAAAAATGAGAATTTTGTTTGACTTTCTACATGGTAAATATTCCCCCTGTAAGTTACAATAAAAAAATCCATCTACAAGAGATTGCCAAATTGTCCTGGATGACATAAGAAATCTCTTACTAAGCTTAAACAAATAACTTAAACTCCACATATTTATTTTACTCCCATGATTCTGAGCCACCACCCTGAGATTTTACTGGATGACACCATGTCATTTCAATAGGTCAGGACATGTATATGATACTGGAAGTTTTGTGTTGTGTTTATACAAATTAGCCCAAAATACATAAGTTGCCACACCCGATTCATCTTTCATAGTTATGCTAAGAAGAAAGTGGTTATGAATTGAAAGAAGAGCCTGTGCTGGTTTTTCTGAGCCTCTTAATTTCTGCTCTGAAATAACAAAAGCTTCCCAGACCTTCCTCTGTTTATGTGATTTAATCAAGGTTTTCAAGCACTTTAGGAGCACAAAGCCAATCTACATTTGTTCCCTAGCTCAGGTGTGGATAGATCCAACTTTTGCTGAATGAAGAAGAAACCAAGAAAGCACCAAGGCTGTTAAGCCTCTCAAGTGCTTCAGGATAGGAAATTTAGAAATTAAAAAGTAAGACCTCCTTCCTTGGAGTTTTATGGGTTGTGACTTTATTTTATTTAGTTATGCAAAAGTGATCTGGAGATTGTTCAAGATTAAAAGGAGAAAAGCTAATTTCACAATGAAATTCAAAGTTCCAGTTTCTGAGCAAATCTATGAGAATTTCTTGTCATTGGACAGAAGGATTCTTTTTTCCAGGGCTTTATTTCTCTTATGTTTGATTTTACTGTTAACGACTTTGGATTCTCTTTCTACTGAGAGATGTCTTGTTTACTTTCATCAGGGCTAGGCAGAATCTAGGCAAAAGGAGAGGAACCAGGTGTTCAGCAAAGTTCCATGTGATTGCTCTATATTTTTTGTCTTTTTTTGCATTGTGGGGGGAACGTTTATTTATTTTCTGGTTATCTCTGAAGATCTTCCCAGTAAAACTTTTGCCATAGAGAATGCTTTCAGTTCCCTATTTACATTCCCACTTTAAAACACAGATTCAACAACTATGGAAGTACAACGATTTTTTAAGTTTGATACATTCGATGTAATTTTACAATGATGGTGTACATGAGGGATAGAGTTGGGAATAATAAGGAATAATTTTGAATTAATGAAGAAAACGTGTATTGCTCTTTAAAAATGTTGTCTTCTCCATTTAAAGGACAGAGATTACTTACTTTATCCTATTTTAAAACAAAACAAAACAAAACCTTTGCTTTTATTGGTGACAGTAACTTATGTGTTCTGTTTCATTGACAGAGCGATCTCTTCATGGACTTATAAAACACCCTACTGCAAGACCTGTTCTGCTAATACCAGGGATTAGTTTTATGTCTAAATCTTATTTTATTGAAATCCTGAATTTAATACCATGCAATAATTTGTACATGTCTATTAATTACCTGTTACAGAACATTATGCCCATATTGCACAAACTGGACACAGAAATATTCTGCATGTGAAATTTTCCTTCTAGGAATTTTGACTAAATTGATCTTTAGGAAAAAAACAAATGCTAAAGAAGTTGTTTGAAGCAGGTTCACCCCGCGCACTGCATTTTGGGCTGCAGTTTCTACCACTGGCATGAATCTGGTGAGAAATAAACAATCACACAAGTTAAATGCAGCCACTTTAACTACTCACAGATAGGTAACAAAGAACAACAGATTCTTAGAATTTGAGGTAAGCTAGTCCCCCAAGGCTCAGGAAAGCTGCCCAGGGCAAATGGAGTCTTGTCTGCATTGAGCCCACATTGCACCACAGCTAAAGGACCTCAAGATCATACTGTGCTCTGGGCTTTATGACTGAGGGAAGTGGACTCACTGGGGTAGAGCATTGCAGGAAATCTTAATGTACAACAGATGGAACAGCTTGGGCTGCTCCTCCTTATTGCTAACGCTTTCTACATTCTCAGTAGTTATTCCGAAAATGATAAGCAAGGAAAAGGGAGAAAGCTGGGTCACCAAAGGCACCAGGGGACTTGTTGCTCAGCCAGGAGTCGATTTATAGAACAAATCTACAATTATATACTTCACGTTACAAATAAAAAATAATGAACATATAATAGATTTAAAAAGGCATTTACAGACATTTTTATTTATAAGGAGATCCTTAATGTTGTTTGATTTATATTAAAAAAATAAGCTGATAAAAATATTTCTGGGGCTGTAGCTCAGTTTGTACAGTGTTCGCCTAGCATGTGGAGGCACTGTGTTCCATCCTCAGCACCACATAAAAACAATAAATAAAATAAAGGTATCATGTCTATCTACAACTAAAAAAATATTTTAAAAAATTACTTCTTAAAGTATGTTTGTTTCTCTTTGGTCTACATTCATTTTTTAAGATCTACCAAATAGCAAGCACTCTCTGTGACTGGGTCAGGTGCTATCTTAAGTGCTGTCTATGTGTCATTTTATTTAATCCTCATGATCCAAAGACAAGCACTCATGATCCCAATGTCACAGAGGAAAATATGAAGCCACTGAAACTGAAAGTGATTTGTCTACCACCCAGTGAGGCCATGCCATTGCTTAGACTCAAATATAGCTTGAAAGACATTGGAACACTGCTTCCAAAAAGCTGCGTGTAGTGATTCATTGGAGGTTCAAGAAACCAGTTTGGAGAGTCACCATCATCATTAAAAAATAATAATAATAACAAAATAAAATTAAATAGAATAAAAAAGTACTGAAAATAGACCAGGGCACCACATATTTAAAAATTTGTTTTAAATATATAATAATATACATATTTGTGCACTGCTTCTTGACTTAAAAATAATTACCTTTCTTACTCTGGGTTGTGACTTTGAAATATGAAAAATAAGCTATGCTGATATCAAAAGCAACAGCAATCTGATTCTAAAGGGATGAACATTAAAGTTTAATTTTCAAAAGTTGTATATATGAATTATCCATAGAATGGAAGACATATGTTGGCCCACAGCTAAATATTCTATTCATTTTTAAAATCCAAGCTAAAAAGAGAAAAACATATTATAAGAGTAACCTTCTTCTATCAGACCGATAGAACTCACAACAAAAATAGAACAGAGAGAACCCACAACAACAAAAAATAACGTAAACACAAAATCTCATTTATTTTTTTCTGAAGCACAAAGGAGATCACTCAGCACAATAACAATAAGCAAATCATACAAATACTGTGGGGAAAACTGTCCCCATGACTACATATATATTTATATATATTCTTAAGAGCAGTGATCAGGAGTTTAACAACAAGGTAAAGTGGTTTTCACTGAAGAATGCTTTCTGACAGGCTTCTGGATAGGAAAGGGACAGGCAAATCACTTTCCATATAACAAGTGAGCTAAGAATGACGTCTGTTACCCAAGCCACTTGAACTCCACGGACTGTGAAAGCCTTTTTCAAATTTGTGTTTAATTTCATCAATGGCCTGCTTTACGTTTGCATTTCCCTAAATTTGAACTAGATCCACAAACCAACCCCTCAGCCCTCTGTGTCTCACACTCCAGACTATTGGAGGTAGAAGGGGATGAGGTTGGGTGTGAAAGAGTCAGAATGATCAATGTCAGGGTTTTCTAAGAGTGTCCTTTCTTTTCCAGTCTTTGGATACATCTTCAATCTTTTTGTGTATTTCTTTGATGTCTTCAGGAACATTATAAAGTCTGAGGTCCAAAGTTGTACCTAAAGTAGCTACTAGATCTGAAATTGCAAACATCTCCCATAAGTCTTACAAATAATAATAAAAAATAAAAAAACCCAACCCAACCAAAAAATTATTAAACTCATAACAATTCCTACAATTTAAAAGTAATTTCAAGTCATTGCCCATAACACACTTCTTAGTCCACCTTTTAATGCCTGAGAACACTCTTTTTTAAGTGTGTGAATGTTTCCAGCAGCAACATCCACTTAAAAAAAAAATGGACAACAATAAAAAAGATGTCCAATAGGTTCCAGAAGCATCCATTTCTGGATATCTTCCATGTGTACCACAAGGTAGAAATGATACAATGTGCTTTGGAGTTTGCCTTAAAAGCTTTCCATACGGCTGGTTCTAGGGTGAAGAGCTTTAAAAATAGGAAAAGTCTGGTAGGGAGTGAAGATTCAAAATCCTTTGCTAGATCTCACACCCATTATGCTTCCTATGATCTCAGTTGCCAATAGGGATATTCAAGGGCACACTTCAAAATCAGCCAAGCATACAGGGAAGTATTTTCTACCATTCCCCTTCCTTTAATTTGCAGACTTCTCACTAGAAAAGAGATTCAGTGGGGTTCAATGCTCACAGAATCAACTTAGAAAAATCTCCTGGCACAACAGGAAACCCTCTTGGATTGTAAAACCTCTGACAATTCAATTAGAGAAACAGCAAAAAGGAGTAGCAACCTCCTTGGTCTCAGTTGATGGCTAGGACAATCTGTCACTTCCTATTTTTTTCTTTCACATGTTTCCCTCTCGTTTGAAGATCAAATTTACCTCAGCTGATTCTCCTACTTTTTGTTTTGGTTGCACACATATTTTGTAAATGTATGATAGAAGATGCTTTTAAATATGCTTTTACCTTTTAAAATACATTTCATGGAATAGACCATGAAAATGGGGCAAATGGTGCAGGATTGGGCTGGGGGACATCAAGCTTTTAATTCTTTCTTTCCTGTCAGAGAGCAAACCATTCCAACATAAAGGGACAAACAGGACTGGCTTGGAAGAGTGCCTCTCCACAATTCAGAAAGTCAACTCACATTAGGCAAAGGCAACATTCCAAAGTGCAAAACATCTGGCCCCATGTATGGCTAAGGCCTGAAGTACTGAAAAAAAGCATATGTAACATTCAGGAACATTGCACTCGGGGAAATAAAACACATAAGTTATAAGGGATGCAGAGATCAAAGTCCATGTAAACATTTCAACACATTCTATTTTACTAGAAAAGTTATTCAGGTCTTAATAATACTACCAGGGCTAAGTTGAATGGTTGCATGTGGCCACTATTCCTGCTTCTGATACTATTACATTACTGTTTGTGAATCCTGAATCTATATGAAAACTGACTTCAACATCAAAATGTACACCCTTAAAGGAATATAAAATGTAGGATCTTGCAAAGGCTGGAAGCAGCTCTCCACTATTAGAAGGACTTTCACCTCATCTGAGTTCCTAAGCCCATATTGTGTAATTAAGTTTCCTTGGCAGAGACTAAGTGAGCAGGGAGCATCTGCCAACATTGTAGAGAAATGGGGATAAGTTTTGTGGAGCATCTTTGATGTTGCTCAGGAATCAGAAATACTAGAAATACACACAAAGAGTAGTAATTGGATTTACCGAGTTACTTAATATCCCACAAAACAAACTTTTTGTTAAAAAGATCAAGAATTTGTTCCATGTTTAAATGTAGCATACATACAATTAAATCTAAAAATGGGGGTTGGGTTGTGGCTCAGTGGTAGAGTGATTTCCTAGCATGTGTGAGGCACTGGGTTTGATACTCAGCACCACATTTGATAAATAAAATAAAATAAACAAAATAAAGTTAATTTTTTTTTAACTCTAAAAGAGTTTCTACCACTGGGGAAAAAAACTGGGCAAATTACTGCTGAATTAAGATGAATATGTAAAAGTAATATTTATGCTATAGAAAAATCATGTTCTTAGTTTTGTAGGTATGGAATTAGTTATATAAAGTTTTCTAATGCAAGGTAGCATGAAGGAGTCACACTGGAGCCCCAGGAATGAATGTCATGTTGAGAAATCTGTTCCCTTTCCTGGTTTATTTATAATATTTGGAATAAATTTTAAAAATATAGGTTTTAAATAAGACTCAGTAATTTTAAGGTTTTATCATAAGATTACAATTTGTTTTAATTCTGAGTTTGGGGAAAGGACACTGTATAATTAGGAGCATATAATGCTCTTCACTTTGTTTAATATTCCTAGATGCCTTGTATATATCAGCTCGTGTTCACAGAAACCTTACGTGGGACATCTACACATTTTTCATTATCATAAAGTTCTAATGTCCTGAAAATTATAAGTAATCAAATGGATAATTGGATTAAGATTAGAAAATGGAGTGTTTTCAATATGTAGGGTTTTAAAATATTTTTAATAATATTTCTTTAATGAGATTTGTCCTTCATTTTAAAATTCTAGCAGATTGACATCTGAGTATGAAATTTTCAGCAACTGTGGGATATGGTTGGGTAGAATAGGCCATTGCAAAGGAATCTGTCCTGTTAGTATCAATAGCTAATGGACACCCAGTACTTGCCCTGATTTATTAAAAATTCCATTCTACACAACAATGGTGTATGGAATTTGTTTCTCTTCTAATAAAATGGAAGCAATGATAACATCACACAGGTATAAATTAAGATGATTTTAAAGTGCACCAAAATACAGTTATTTATGCCATGTAGTTATATAATATTCCTAAGAGACTTTAAATCTTTAATACTTAACTTCTGTCAAACACTTTGAAGCACAGAACTATATTTAAAAAGCATATGGCATTCAATTCCTGACATCCATCCCTAAAGAAGGCAAAGCACAACAAGAACACATCTGTGAAACGCAGATTCCATTAAGTGCAAATTTCCAAAACACAAAGTCAATCTAGAAACACATTTTAAAATTCAGTAAGTTTATGCTCAGCATATAATTTTCAAAGACAATCTGAAGTGATTTTTTTTCCAACATTTGTTCACTGTCTAATTTTTGTTCCCTCATAAAAATATGGTCACTGGTTAATTTTTAGTTCCATAATTTTCATACTTGTTAGCTCAAAATATCTAACCTTATAGGAATATCTTTGCTCTCCACGTTTCCACATAGGAAAAAGATTTCACTTCAATCTCATAATAGACATAACTGCCAGCAATAATATCCCCTTCTGTTTGAGCTTGAAGTAAACCTGAACAGGTCAAAAGGGAGACATTTTCATGAAATTATGAAACCTCCCAACCAGAGTTGGGAATTACTGCACTTCCTTCAAGCAGTTTACCAAGTGAATACTGTAACTAGACACAGAAAGAGATAGTCATCCCAAGAACAAGGTACTGATTGTGACTTTCCAACCACGCCTGGGCACAAGGGAGACGCAGAGTCATGTCATCCCAGGAGAACTTCTTACACTGAGCTGGAAAATGGAACCACCTGCTTGCCACCCACATAAACCTCCTCAATATTTCGATCATCTCCTGAAAGAAAAATCAAAGAATCAATTTATAAAGTGGTTTGTGTCAGTAATTATTTTAATTGCCATGGAGAGATTTAAAACAAAATATTTGCAAGAAAGGAAACACAAAAAAGCTGATTTCTTTTTTTTTTTTTTTTTTACCCTCTCAGATTGCTTATAATCTGGTCAGGATAACATGGATCAGCAGAAGATGCCATAGCTAATTTGAGATTAGAGTCTGGATTCTGCACTCAAGGTGGAAATCACATGAATCGACCCCCATCCCCATCCTTTTAGCTCAAGTGCTTGGTTATTCATTTCTAGGCCCAGTTGAAAAAGAAACCGTTATCTTAATAGTGCATGGTGAAATGAACAATTTGCAGAAACTGAGATCCACATGAAATAACATGTGTCTCTCCCATCTCAAGTTCACTCAGTACTGAGCTCACTCAGTGGAAGGAACATCAGAGAAGAATCTTCTGCATTATCGTTTCTCTCAGTGAATGGAATTGAACATGAGTACACTGGAAACACATGTGGGGAGGGTCTAGTAGACCACAAGGTAGGACGGAATGTGGGTACAGATGAGGGTAAGAGGTTTACACATGGGATTTCTTCCTCTATGGGCTTTCATTCTCAGCTTGGGATTTGTGACTGTATGTTCTAGTGGGTCATGTGTATTTTGAACAGTACTTTAAATATTGTACTACAAACAGACTTGATGCTGAGGAGTATTTAAAAAATAAATCAAGGCAAATTAACACAGATAACATTTAAAATATGTTATAACAAACACAGAGAGCCATACCCAAGAAAAAGACAAAAGACTTATTTAGCATAGAGATGTATATCTACCTACCTAGATAGAGGAACTTCTGGATAACAGCCTAAAATGGAAAATAAAGGTAATAAGAAATAGTATTTTGTACATTTCATAAAGGAAATTAATAGGAAATAGTGTTTGGTAAAGCCCAGAAATTGAAATGTATTTCTCAAAAGTGAACTACTATTAATTAAAAAGAAATTGTCTATTAATTCTATTATTTAAACTTCTATTAATTAAAAGAAATTGTCTTTTCAGATAAAAAGAAAAGCATCAAATAAATAAAATACACAACCTGTTGTCTACTAATAAATGTTTGTTTAGTGCTAGAAAGTTCTTGGGATATAACCTTCAATTATTTGAAGGAAAAGCATTATATAAATTAAAGAAATTAATCTAGTGAAATGATTCAAATATTTTAAGAGGTGTATGAAATAAGAAAAATGACTAGATGAATGGGATTAAGCCCTATTCCCAGAAAGTCCCTCTACTAAAAAAGTAAAAAAAAAAAAAAAAAAGTAATATGAAAATAATGATGGACTCAGGATACATTTCCCCAGAATCAAAGGCAGGAAGGTCACTGTGACCTTCCTCTCACCCTTCTCCCCTGAAGCAGATCCTAAGACCCTCAAGTCAGAGGTGCCCTCCTACTACCCAGAGGGAAGGAGCATCCTGGACAAAGGATCACAGAGAAGACAGTACAAACAGGCCCTGTTTGCCCCCAGTTTGGTACCATTAGAGAATGCTCTTTTCCCAATTTTCCGTTCTTCATCAAACCTAGCACTCAGGTTAACCAGCTTCTTTGGGTCTTCATTTCATTATGAAGGCTCTCGTGCCATAAATAAATTTGTATGCTTTTTTTTGGTTGATCTGTCTTTTGTTATAGGAAACTCAAGTCTTGATCCTAAGATGGCAGAGGAAAGATCTTTTTTCTCCCCAATAACAAATGATATAAGCTTCAAATAATCCAACATTTTTCTTTTAAAAACTTGAATATATTTATTTTCACATTTACTTTCATAAGTAGATCAATTTATAAATGATAGTAGTTAATTCTTTTCTAAAAACTATCTTATAAACAATAATTATTAAACTAAGATGGATTTGTTTATTATATTAATAGGAAAAGATTTTATAAGAAGAACAAAACTCATTTTCTTATATAATTAAGAAAATTGTCAAACCAAAAAGCTTCTTTACAGCAAAGGAAACAATCAAGAACTTGAAAATAGAGCTTAGAGAATGGGAGAAAATCTTTACCACATGCACCTCAGATAGGAGCATTAATCTCCATGATATATGAAAAATTCAAAAAATGTAACACCAAAGCCAATAACCCAATCAATAAGTGGGAAAAGGGAACTGAATAGACACAAGAAGAAGAAAAGCAATTGGTCAACAAATATATGAGAAAATCTTCAACATTTCTAGCAATTAGAGAAATGCAAATCAAATTACATTGAGGTTTCATCTCACTCCAGTCAGAATGTCAATCATCAAGAATACAAGCAACAATAAATGTTGGCAAGGATGTGGGGGAAAAGTTCACTCATACATTGCTGGTGGAATTGCAAATTGGTACAACCACTCTGGAAAGAAGTATGGAGATTCCTCAGAAAATTTGGAATGAAACCACCATTTGACCCAGTTATCCCACTCCTCGGTTTATACCCTAAGGACTTAAAATCAGCATACTACATTGACACAACCACAGCAATGTTTAGAGCAGCTCAATTCACGATAGCTAAACTATGAAACCAAGCTAGGTACTCTTCAACAGATAGATTAAAAAAAACGTGGTATATATACACAATGAAATATTAGCCATAAAAAATAATGAAATTATGGCATTTGCCATTAAATGGATGGAACTGGAGAATATCATGCTGAGTGAAATAAGCCAGTCTTCCCAAAAACCAAAGGCTGATATTCGTATGCTAATTCACAATAAGGTGGGGTGGTTAGGGAAGAATAGAAGTCCATTGGATTAGACCAAGGGGAATGAAGGGAAGGAAGGGGAAATGGGAATGGGAATAGGAAAGATAGTAGAATGAATTGGACATTACTATCCTATGTGCATATATGATTAAATGACCAATGTAATTCTACATCATGCACAACCAGAAGAATGAGAAGTCAAACTCCATATATGTATGTCAAAATATATTCTACTATAATATATAACTAATTAGAACAAATTTTTAAAAAGAGAAAGAAAAAGAAAATTGACAGAGCATAGTGTCAAGAGCCCAATTTCTGGTGGTCAGAAAGTCTTCCCAGTTGAATCCAAATACTGCATATTAATTACTGGTCATGAGTCCTATGTAAATCACGTAACTTTCCCTCAGCCTCACTGCCCCTATAATTAGTATGATAATATGAATAGTACCCATTTCTCTTGGAGTTGTTCTGCTAATTAAATAAAATTATGTATGAAAGGGCTTAATCCCATGCCTACCTAGCACATATCAAGTGTTCAATTAATACTAGTTATGTATGGCTGCTTATAGAAAAATATACCCAAATACACTAACACATTCAAATGCAAATATTTTGCTAATTATAATTATTCTTAACATTGCTATCATAAATTGAACATTATCAAAGGCATCAACCTTCCCTTTAAGATTCTCCTCAACTCCATTAAAATGTTTCAGTTTCTATTTACTTTTCTACAAGGAAGCTATTTTGACTTCTTTATGAAATAAATGTCTTTTGATTAACTTTGTCTTACTTACCTCGGAAATATCACCAGCAAAATCCCCATAAAACATATCAATGGGAGAGTCAGATGCTTTGGGGTTGATCAGAAGGGCATCAAATTCTTTGCCCACTTCAAAGTTTCCAATCTCACTCTCCAGCCCCAGGGCTGCAGAAGAAAACAAGTTTAAACCCAGTCAGTACTGCAAGCCATCAGACCATGCTAATGTCTCGGTTTGCAGGGATAGAATCTGCCAAAATATCACTAGGAAAAAAATGAATAATCAATAGTGAGGCAGAAAAGTGCTCTCATTCCAGTAGGACCCAAGACTTCCACTTACAAGAAGCAGAGTAAGAAAGCAAAATGTGAAAATAAAAATGGTTCCCCCCAATCATAATTCTGAAGTTGTCATTCAATTTCAGCTCTATCAGTGCCAGCTGGCCTGTGCTTTTTATTTATGGCTCTAAGAATAGACACGATACCTATGAATGCCTAAGAATTGGCATAATACTGATCTTCTTCCCTTCTCTTTCCCCCCCCCCAAAGTTCCAACTCCTTTCCTTGTCTTTTTTTTGTTCTTTATGTTCCATGAAACAGCTAACAAGATCTATTATTATGGTAGTGAAATGAACCTCTAATAAATAAAAAATAATTATTCTTTTGTGTATTCGCCAATGCAGGTCTCTCTACCATAACTTCATGCCTTTGAATAGAAAACAACTCACTTCTCAAAGTGAACAGATCCTCATAACTCAAAAGACACAATGATTTGAAAACAGACCAATCTCTTTGTAACCTCAAAGCTTTTTCTGGTTGCCCAAGAAGAATGATTTTCTAAAATAAGGCATAGGTCAATAACATCTATTGACTCCGCTCATCTCAAGCTATAATTCATGTACTAGGATTATTAAGTGCCAAGGAAGAACATTTCTCATTTCTATGATTTAGTTTCAGAAGATGGAGGTAGTTGGATTTCATGATCAGTGAACATGTTGACTCTAAATCTCCTTAAAGCCTATAACATGAGCAAAGATATACACTGAGGTAGCAAATGGCACATACATACAAGGAAGGTTAACTGGGGTGCAGCATTGTCTACTTTAATTTTTACATGTGTTTTTAGCATTTTGTCACTGGCGTCATGTCGTCTGCTGTGGAAATCGTGGATAGATCTTCCCTGCTAGGCAAAATCTGATATGTGATATTTCTGTGCACAAAAATCCAGAACACTTGGCAATTCTCAAAGCACTTCCATGTTTTTAAAAGATTAAAGGACAACTTTTCTCAAAGAAAAGAATTCTTTAGATTTAATATTAAGAGAGGAGTGTGAAAATAATTAGAAATATTAAAAGCAATTGGTGACTTCTATTAATTGTCAGGGGAAGGTCTGAATATGATAGAAAATCAGTAAAATTTTTTTCATCTTTCACTGTTTATACACCATTCTTTTTGTCCTTGGCAAAGAAGCATAACAAGTATGAGTTTTCAATGGCTGTATGCAACATAAACTTGTTGTGTGTTTAATAGGCCAGAAAACCAGTTACAGTTGCCAGGGTTCATACAAGTTTGATAAAGTAACTGGGCTAGTCATTAGAACACAAAGAGTTCAGGGAGGAATTAACCCAAAAAGACACACTTGCTTCTGAAGAATTTATAAACAGTACATTCAGATTGTTGCATTTGGACCCAGCTGGGTTGGTGAGCAACTCAAATGCATTTCAGGAAACGTAATTTTTCTGTCTTTGGAGCGAATGTTGGCTCTGTGAAGATGGTTAAGACACATTTTTTTTTTTTTTTGTACTGAGGATTGAATTCAGGGGCACTTTACCACTGAACCACATCCCTAGCCCTTGTTTTGTATTTAATTTCAAGACAGGGTCTCACTGAGTTGCTTAGAGCCTTGCTAAGTTGCTGAGGCTGACTTTGAATTCTTGGTCCTCCTGTCTCAGCCTCCCAAGCTGCTGGGATTACAGGCGTGCGCCATGGCGGCCAGCTTGCTTACACACAATTTGATCTTCATGAGTGTGAGTGTCACGGCTGTGGCAGAGCTGGGAATATGCCACAGGGATTTACTCATCCCATTTCACCCAGACCATAGTAGAGACACAAGCTAAGGAGAAGAAATTCCGTAACAGTAAGCCCAGTGGCCCAGAAACACAGTTTTAAAAGCTACATTGTGCGGCAGAAAGGATTTGGTAGGCATTCCATGATGGCTTGTTTAGAACAGGATCCTGATGGGGCAATCACAGAGAGCCTAGAGTAAAAAGGCACCACTTAAATTCAGCTAATTTGTACCATGAAAATAGATGGTAGAATAACTCAAACTCAGGTGTGCAAATACAATGATGGTGCAGGTGAGAGGGTATCACGTTTAAAAGAATGGGTGGCTTGAAACTGGGAATTTTAGAAAATGAAACCTCAAGGCTTAGAGAACTGCAAAGAAGAGAACCATTACTTGTTTTTCTTAAAATGTTCTTTAGGGCACTCATTATAGTAACCGAACCTTCAAAGAAGAACTGAGAAATTGCTCTTCCCAGGGTTCTCCTGGCCTTGATCTCCATCCATGTCTAAGGCTCGGGGAATCTATTGTAAATCTATATCTCTAAATCCTTATCTATATATTTTAATTTCTCACCAGCTATCTCTGATTTACACTATTTTCATTATCATCCATTCAAATTACACTATATTTCTAAAGTGACTTAAATTATGATTTCTATTTTTTTCATAAAAATATTGTTACACATGAGAACGAAGAAAAGCTAATGAATATTTGTATATCAACCAACTATTTTTTTTACATCTTTTTCCTCTTAAAGAGACTTTGAGTAATTAGCATACTTAAATATATAAACCAAGCACATGGTCTAGGTGGGAATTAGTATAGGCAGTTATAGTGGAGAGTAGAAGCAAATATCTGAAATTTGGCATTCGATTTTCTGGATTCAATCATGGCATGTTATAGCTTGACAGCTGTGTAAGCCTGCACAATTTCCTTGTTCATAAAATGGAATTAACAGCAGTGTTATGAAGGTACAATAACAACATAGTAAGGTGTGTTGCATAGTGTCTGTCATGGGTCTGAGCTCAGCAAGTCTTGGCTATGGCTTAGCATATGGCTATTATTATTAGTATTTGGTTATTATTATTACTCAGGCCAAGAGAAGAAAGTACTTGACTCAATGGAACAATGGATTATTTTAAAGAACCAGAATGCATGTGACCAATGCAAATATCCACTAAAGTGACCAATTTATCATAATTTATGACAATTGTGTATCAAACATCTATTCTGCCAGATAATGAACTCATCGAAAAACTGAGTTCTCCACCATATACCTGAACATATATTTTGCTGGCTAAAAGCTGGCTATGCCCTGTGAGATGTGACAGTATGTGTATTGGATTCCCCTGATTCCACTATCATGCACCTTAACACTCCATTGGAGGACACGGATTCGCATGGTTGTATGTTGTGTGAGAGAGAAATAAAATAGTCATTACCTTGGCTTCCTCCAAGAGTGGCTAGTCTGAAGACTTCTCTGAGGCTGAGGCTTTTCTCGTTTACCTTATTAATTAAAAGGATATTGGAAACCATCACTGCTCTTCTGATGGCATCAAGCATGGATGAGGAATAACCACCAGCCACATCTGTGGTAAGCAAAACAAAGCCCAGACAGTAACTTTATGAGGATAAACAGAATAATAGATGTATAAGGTTGTCTTTTGCTTTTAGTGATATAGTCCATATTTAATTAAAGAAAGGTCTTATCCATAGAGATGCAAATCAACATTGATAAGAATTAGAATTTTCTATTAGGTTCCTGGAGCTGTTGCCACAAACTGCCACATATTTTATGGCTTAGCACAGCAGAAATTTCTTCTCTCGTAGTTTCAGAGTTCAAAAGTCTGAAATCACAGTGTTGACAGGGCTGTTACACCTACAGAAGCTCTAGGGAAGAATCATTCCTTGCTTTTTCCTGTTTATGGTGGCTCCTGGCATTTTGGTTTACAGCAGTAGAACTCCAGTCTCTGCCTCCACCTTCAAATAGTCCTCCTCCCTCTGTTTTCTGTCTCTCTCCTTTTCTGCACTGATCATTGGATTTAGGACCCACTGCACTTCAGAATGACTTCATCTTGAGACCTTTACCTTAATTACAACTATAAAGACCTTTATAAGATCATATTTATAGGTTTTGGTAGACATTTGGGGCCACAGTTCAGCCCACTTCGATACCCAAATTATTAATAAAGGTAACAGAAACATCTCTGAATATTCTCTGAACTCTCACAAAAACTGTTCAAATACGCCTGCATAGTTGTAAAGATGATTTACATGTGATTTAAAACAAGTTCACAGTTTTATATTCAAAAACCTCGTCCTAACTTTATGCTAGTCCAGATGAGAACTTTAGGAAATTAAATAAAGTTACTTCTTTAAGATAATTTGGCAGAAAGAGTGTTAGAATAAACATATATTTTGGGAAATTAGTATAATAAAAAGCAATGCTGATTCAGATAGCTTTATATATTGGTTGGCATCATTAAATGAGGAAAAAGATTTTTAGTGGCTTAAATGAAATCTCTAATCATAATTCAATTGAAACACTATCTTTGAAAGAAACATATATAGAAGTTATTAAGTGAGTTCATATAAACGTCAAGCGAGTTAGCAAGTTTTATTAGAGTAAAATACATTTATAGCTAATAAAATATACTTTATATCTTAAGGGTTCCTTCTGTCATTTCTAGGTAGACATATATAATTGTTAATGCCTATATATACTGCAAAGATCAAAAGTAATTGCCTATTTAATAGTAATTATAGATTGCAGCTCAATTTCATGTTCAACTGTCTTACTTGTCCTTAGGTAAACTTGTAAGGAATTTTTTTTTAGAAAATGCTTTTCTTTTACCAGAACAGTATTTCCAAAGGATCACTCAATTCCCTGAAAAGTTTTATTATATCCATTTAACTTATTCATCCATGTTAATAGACAGTACTCTTCAATTTTGTACATTACATGTTAATTGGAAATAAATTAATTAATTTCAAATAAAGAAAATCAATGCCAAATACCTAATATTAGTCAAATAGTATTCAATTGTTAGTCTATGTCAAGAATCTTTCTAAGAAGATCACATATTAACTTATTTTTCCTCAAAGCAATCTTACAAGGTGTCTACTATCATCAACTCCATTTTAGAGACAAATACCAAAGCACAGTGACAAGGTAACTTGCCACTAGGTCAAGGTGGCTAGCCTTGCCAGCCAGTGGCAGAGAAATTGGACCCAGCTTGTTCTTAATATGTACATAGTACTCCCTCTGCAGAGCCGAGGTTCCCAAACCTGGATCTTTGTTAACTTCTAGACAGATCTCTTGAAACCCCATTGTGAAACTGCTCACTCAGGATCTATGTATCAAGATTAAACTCAGGAATCTGTATACTTTATTTATTTTTTAAATTGATGGGCAAAAGTTGTATATATTTATGGTGTGACTTTTTTGTCTTATTTTTATTTTGCAATGATGGGGACCACATTCAGGGCCTCAGGCATGCTAGGCAAGCACTGTACCACTGGAGATGCTTCTTCAGCACCTTCCAGATGCCCAGGTATGTGCTCTGAGAAAGAGGAACAATAAAAGAATCAAAGCCTGGGCTTTTGCAAAGTGAACACAAAGAGGGATCAGAAGCCATTTTTCTAGTGATGTCCACTGGCATCCAAGCAGGGTAAATCAGGGAGGGAATAATGGGTCTTGAGAAAGCATGGAATCTGGATTGGGTTCCACAAAGAGATCAAAGAACGAGTGCTTTGGGAGTAATGGAAAAAACCAAGTCAGGATGGGTAATCATCACTGCAAAATGAAACACTGCTACATGCAGGTCATTTGTTTTAATGAATTTATATGTATTGTTTATGTAAACTTGTTGTATACTTTCAAATTTTTCTTTCATATTACTGTTTTGGGGTTATTTACTATGTTTGCTTTGACTTCCATGCATCTTTCCTATTTTAGACAGGAAGCATTCTGCATAATTCTGCCAGTAGTTATCTTTAATATAGATCGAGGATTCCTAATCAAAAGATATAAAATTTCAAATGCTCCAAAACATGATGACACCACAGTGGAAAATTCCACACCTGACCTCATAAGATGAGCTGCTGTCCAAAATGCAGGAACACTAAAAATAGTGTCTAAAATTACATTCAGTCTATGTATATAAATTATAAATGAAACATAAATAAATTTTGTGTTTAGATTTGGGTCCCTTACCCAAGGTATTTCATTATACATATGCAAATATTTCCAATTTTTAAAAATCTGAAATCCAAAATACTTCTGTTCCCAAATATTTTGGATAAAGGCTACTCAACCTGTATTTTTATATTGCACAGTCAAAATCAAAATATGATATGCAACTCACTTTTTTCTGAGACGAGAAGTTTTATACACTTATAATTTGGCTGCCACTTGCCAAGTACATCTTACACAGATGCTACAACTTGGGTTTTGTTAACAAAATCAGAAGACAGAAGAATTTTTAGTACTTAGGAAGTTATTTCTTGCAGAGCATATATTATTTAAATTTCTATAACATTGAAGACATACAAATCATATAAAGAAAATATAAAATCAAAACTGAAGGATCTGACGCTCAGTTTCAAAAACAAGTATGTATTCAGGACCCAGGAGCCTCTTTCTGATTTATGTTGCCATTCTGATAGTTTTTTAATATACATTACTTTTAACATCATACACGTTGAGATGAATTTTGGGCTTTTGCTTTTATTTTTTTTTAATCATTTCCACATTTTAATCTTATTTCTACTTTAACTGATAACAGCTTTACTATAAATTTTATTGTTCTATTTCTTTCTCACATAATGGCACTTCATTTTGGCCCACCAATAAATAAATGGTATAGATTTTTTACCTAATACTAGTCAACAAGTATTCAATTGTTAGTCTATGTCAAGAATCTAAGAAGATCACATATTAACTTTTTATTTTTTCCTCAAAGCAATCTTACAAGGTGTCTACTATCATCAACTCCATTTTAGAGACAAATACCAAAGCAAATTGACAAGGTAACTTGCCACTAGGTCAAGGTGTCTAGACTCGCCAGACAGTGGCAGAGAAATTGGACCCAGTTGTTCTTAATATGTACATTGTTCTATTTCTTTCCCACATAATGGCACTTCATTTTGGCCCACCAATAAATAAATGGTATAGATTTTCTAGTTATTTTTTTCAAGGGGTTCAGAGAGATTACTTTCCAAGGCTTTGTCCAGCTGAGAATTTTGTTGCCTTCACATATGAAGGAGAATTCGCCAGATATAATATTTTCGGCTAATGACTGCTTCACCCCCATATTCATTTTTGACTTTGGTTTTGTGTGTGCTAGCAAAAAACATTTGAATGAAAATTGTTTTAATTGTTTTGTTGACAACTGAATTTTTCACCCTACATCAATGTTTCCGGAAGTGTTTTTGTTCTTTGTAATTAAAATATTGCGCAACAACATGCTCAGGTATAATTTAACATAAAATGGGGCAAGCACTTACAACATAGCTCCTTCTTAAGCTCAAAAAAAAATATCCTTTAAGATTTATTATTTGTTCCATTGACTCCAGGACCTCCATCAGAAGGCCCCTGTGTTGGCACTATGCCTTCTGCCCTCCTCATGGATCATCCTCTAACACCCTCTTCTGATCTTTGCTCCATTTTATTCCCCACATCATTGAATTAGTTTTTTGCAACAATTCTGTTTCTTATATCCGCCTACATAATTGGTTTGTTCTTGCTTTAATAGAGATATAATTAAGATATTATAAAATGCATAGTACTTGGATATCCAGTTCAATAAATATTAACAGTTATACACAGTTTTAACTACCTTTCCAAAAAAAAAAAAAAAACAAGATATCAATCATTTCCACTACTCCAGCAAATTCCCTATGGCCTTTTCTAGTTAATTCTCCTAACATCACCTCCAACACTTAGGACCACTTCCTGATTTCTGTGAACACAGGTTAGTTCTGTTGGTCCCTGGATTTTATACATATGAAATCATACAGTATGTGCTTGTTTTATCTTTTTTTTCACTTAAGATATTTTTGAGATGTACTCACGTTTTGTATATATAAGTAACTTGTTTTTTAACTTCTGAGTAATATTCCATTATGTGAATATACCACAGTTTGCTTTTATCTATCCTCCTGTTGACAGATGCTTGGATTATTTCAAAGTGGCAGCTTTTATGAATACAGCAGGTATAAACATTCTTATACAACTCTTTTTGAAAACATGTTTGTTCATTTCTCCAGGATAAATATCCAAGAGTGAAATTCCTGGGTTATATGTAGATGTATATTTAACCTTATAAGAAACTGTAAAACGCTCTTCAAAATGATTATACCATTTACCATCTCTCCAGCAGTGTGAGTTCACATGCTTGTATTTCAATTTTTTTGTTTTCTTTTTCCACTTTGAAAATTTGTATTTTCATCACCATTTGCTATATTTTCATAGTGTCATGTCTTTTTAAACTCTAAGGATGATGACAATTTTTAGAGATTTTCTTCTGGATCAGAAGTAGATCATTATTAGATGTTTGCTCTCATTCCTAAACTGCCTTTTCTTGTTTTGCAATGCTTTTTTTGACAGGCTTCCTGCAGGTTTTTAATATTTTAGCAAGTCAAGATTTGCTCATATTTGTTATAGACACAGTGCACAAACTGTTCTTGGGCTTCCTCTCTATTCACAGTATGAGGCTAAATATCTCCCAAACTCTATAAACAAAGGGCAAATTGATAACGTAAACATCATGTCTAGGAAATAGTGGATCCCTAGGTGGCTATGGTGATAAAGACTGTAAAAATGAAACAACATTCTCCAAGCTAATACACTAATATGTCACATTTAAGCAAACATTTGATCAATATGTTTGCCAGAATGTTCCCTATGCTTTTTCAGCCACAGTGATACAACCCAGTCAAGAACTGAAGAAACTGCATGATGAATTTAAATCATGGGAATTTTCCTAGAAAAATTGAGAGAAATACCTACCTGATTTTTTATGTCTGCTAAATTTTTCATATTAACTAACTGTAGTGGGTAGCAAACTCTTGGCCATTTTTTCCCCTAACCTTTAAAACTTTCCTGTGAAAATAAAGAAACTAAATCACTTCCTTTAACATCAGTGATGATATCCCAATGTTATCCCAATCTTAATAATTTACGACTTAAATTAGAATTTTTAAAAATCCTAACTACTTTGATTCTATATAAAACTGGAAAAAAATCTCTAATTTAACATACCTTTCTTGATAATTTTAACAAAATAATAATGAATATTATTGTGTTTTTCTAATTAGTTGCTTGATGTAAAATATCTCATTGTAATAAACTAGAACTTGAGTTGTTGCAGAAAATGGTGAGAACTACCAATTTCAATATGCATGCAGCCTCACGTTCTGAAATATCAAGAAGACAAAAGCATCAGGAACACAAAAGAAAGACAAGTACAACATAAGTTCACTCATAATGTGGAATCCAAAAAAAAAACTTGACCTAATAGAAGCTGAGGATAGAATGGTGGGTACCAGAAGCTGGGGAGAGTAGTAGGGAAGGAGATGTGGGAATAGGTTAATGAGTAGGTACAAAGCTACTATTAGGAGAAATAAGTTCTGGTGTGCTGTTGCACAGTAAGGTGACCATAGATAATGATAATGTACTATATATTTCCAAAAGGCTGAAAGAAAGGATTTTGAATATTTTCACCATAAAGAAATGATAACTGTTTCAGAAGACAGATATCCTTATCCTAATTTAAATATCATACAATATATATCACAGTACACCCCATTAATATGTACCATTTTTGTGTCTACTTTAAAAGTTTTAGAAAAATAACCTCTTGTGCCCAATTTCATCTTCCTTTAAAAAATTTTTAGTTCAGTCATACACAGTAATAAAAGAAGGCTCACAGTAGATGCCTAGACGTTTAGGCTGACTCTCATTTTCTAAGTGAGCAGCAGTGCACACACTCAGGAAAAACAATTAAAATGCATTGTAAAGAAAGAGTGTATTGCTAACCCAGCTGCCACGTAGAATGTCCTTCAGCTGGGTGAGCATCAGACTACCTGTCGAAAACCAGGAGTCCCATTTTGGCCAAACAAGGGTTAAAAGCAAAGCTGGTTCTTATAGTGTCTCAGAATTCTCAAAGTTGACAAAGATGGAATCTGACCTTGCTCACTATGGCAAAGTCAAATACATTTTCTTATGAGACAGTATTTGATGATGAAGTTACTGAAAACACACACACACACACACACACACACAAATCCAATCTTATAATAACCTTATAAAAACCTAGCCAGAAGGACAAAACAATAAGGGCGGGGGAAATAAAGAACCTTTAAAATACTTTAGAAGCAATGGTCCTTTATCGCCTAACCTCTAAACCACAAACAGGGTTAATGGCTTTCAGGGTTTAGTGTCATAGAAACATCTCTCTTCACAGACAAGTTCCCATTACTTCCAACCTCACTATTCAGTTAGATACTTTTAACAAAATAATAATGAATATTATTGTGTTTTTCTAATTAGTTGCTTGATGTAAAATATCTCATTGTAATAAACTAGAACTTGAGTTGTTGCAGAAAATGGTGAGAACTATCAATTTCAATATGCATGCAGCCTCACGTTCTGAAATATCAAGAAGACTACCAATCAAATTCATGTTTCTTAAACATAAAACTGTTATCTGCAAATTAGTTGCATCAAAAGTTTTTTTTAAAGAGAGAGAGAGAGAATCTTTAATATTTATTTATTTATTGTTAGTTTTCGGTGGACACAACATCTTTGTATGTGGTGCTGAGGATGGAACCCGGGCCGCACGCATGCCAGGCGAGCACGCTACCGCTTGAGCCACATCCCCAGCCCATCAAAAGTTATTTGCTGATTTACCAATGCCACAGTTTCACCAGTGAAATACTGACCTGTCCCCAGCCCTATCTTCACTTCATGTTTCAGGACCTCAAGCACATTGAGAAAGCCACTGCTGAGCCTGTGGAGAGAGAAGATTTCAGAGGAGATTCATGCGATTCCAACAATGGAAGGTCACTTAATAATAATGAAAAGCGATATCACTGAAAATGGCGTTTCCCATTGGATCATCTCTCATGCTGACACAAATACACAGTCAAACCAGGCCATCTGAGTCCTGGAGTACAAAGCATCATCAAGAGCTGAAGTTAATCTCAGGAAGATACAAAGCATCAAGAGATAAAGGGAAAGTGGAGAATCACTTATATGAAAAGAATAAATGAAGAAGTTAAACCTTACAATGAGTCCAAAAGTCTTATCAATATTAAATTTGGTGGTGGTGGTGGGAGAGGGGCGGGGGGACAAGGATTGCTCAGGATTGAACCCAGTGGCACTTTACCACTGACCTACACCCCCAGCCTTTTTTAATTTTTATTTTGAGAAAGGGCTTCACAAAATTGCCAAGGGTGGCCTCAAACTTGCCATCTTCCTGCCTTAGTTTCTCAGCTATCTGGGATTAAAGGTGTGCACCCCTGCAACTGGCTCTTAAGTATTTTCTAACCGACCCACTCATCTATATTAGGAAATAGAAATTATAAAGCACTGCCCTTCCTCTACTTGCAGAACAATTTGTAACCCTGAATAAGCAGTGATTCATATTAAGGCTCAGAAAACAAGACCCCAAAGAAGCAACCTCAAAAATCAAAATCTTCCTCTGACCTAATCCTGACCCCTTTCTTCTCCACAAGACAATCCATAGAAACTAGAATTTTTTAGGCCTAGAGGGTGTAAATCATTGGATCCATGGCACTAAAACAGAAACTAAAATTTCTCTTTCCAAAAGTGAATCAGAAGCTAGAACCCCCGTTCTTCAAAGTAAGCCATAAAGCCTAGAAATATTACTCTTCCCCTGCTTTTTTCTTTTGAAGCTGGCCATGGAGAAATTGTCTGACCTGCTTTGTTCGACAGAAGGTCATAAGACCCTCACTTCAGAAAGGATCCTGCCCCATACCTGGGAGGGAAAAAAATACTACACAGAGAAGCCAAGAAGAATCTGCCCAGCAGAGTTCACTGGGTTTCCCACTCAGCCTCTTAGCATTAGATCAAATCCTTTTTGTCCAATTATGTTCCTAAATGGTTGTCCGTGCTTCATCAAATCAAAGCATAAAAATAGAGAAAGTTCTCTATATCTTTTGATTTTTTTTATTCTAAAACATTCCATGCATGTAAAACTTTGCTTAAATAAATTTGTTAAATTTGTCTCTCTTTTGTTATGGAGGGTCGGATATGACTCTCAGGTGAGAAAAAGTATTACCCCATTACTCTCCTTCACTCTCAAGATAAATGACAGGTGTGAACAACTAGAAAAGGGTTGCAGTCTGTTGAATCTGGGTCTGAAATTTCAAATGCTGCCTCTGAGGGTGCAGCAACTAGGAGAGACAGTTTCTGGGCTGAATTGTGGACCTCATGACTCTGAGCTTAATAGATGTGCTGCCTGTCTAATAAGAGAAACTAAAGCACATCCTTAGAAGTCCAAGAAGATGCAAAGGCCAAACTAGTCTGCTCAAAAATGCACATTCCAAAACTCCAGTAAACACACAATAAACCTCTCAAATTTGTTGGAGAATGGTATTTAAGCAAAAATGTTTCCTTCAGAAATTTAACTTCACATCCAAATTTGCAAAACTGGATGAGTTTCCATTTAGAGTATGTTGTGCAGTGCATTCAAACACGGGATGGTAATTCTTCTCATATGGGGTCACTAGACCATAATTTAGGTTACAGAGGGAAGATGCTCTACCATGTGACTATATCTGAAAACTCCTCAAAACAGTCCAGAAAAATGTCCTGTGGCTCTAAGTCCCCTTCACATACTGCCACTGACACATACTTGTGCCATTTGCGAAGTCCCTAAGCTTCCAACTGCCAACACCTCCAGCCCTTGCCAAGGAACTTCTCCTACTAGTAAAGTCCTCTCTGCCCTTGTTTGGGGACGGTCAGAAGTTCCAGGGAGTTAATGGTTCTTCACCCCCATTAGCAGCCCTCTCCCAATCACTATTGTTTATATACTCACTCCCTGAGATTTCTTAAAGAATTAAACTTCAGGAGCCCATAGTGATAACTCGCTTGATGATGCATTCCTTACTGACTTCCTCTTGTATTACTTCTATAATGGTACTCTCTAAGATCACTTCTTAAATAAACTTGTGCAAGCATGGATTTTTCACCTAGTATCCATTGGTCCCCATCGTAGGATCTATTAATTTACTGAAAATGATGCAACATTTTTATGTTTATGTTTTTTTCCCCAGAGATACAAGCCAGAAGTCATCTGAATCACTTATGAATTCATAATCTTTCAAAAGGTTAAGACCATGTTATAAAAATATTTTATATTCTAGGGAATGACAAAAGGAAAAGGTCCCTCCTGGGCTGCCCTATGTGAGCCAGTACCCTGTCAGATCCAGCACACTGTGGAACATTGGCTTCTACTGCACTGCACTTCCTCCTGACTCCAGAGCTCCAAAATGTGGCAACACTGCCTCCCTGGAGCACTGACTGCCATGTGCATTCTTACAGTCCCCGGCTCTAAATCCTGAATTTCTGTTGTATTTCCCATTATTCATTTTTTGTGCACATTTCAGAGATTTTAGGAGATGTGTTTTCAAATTCATACTCTGCAAAAAAAGTCCTCTTTTATATATTCTTCTTTTCCTCCACTACAATATAGGCAAATGTCCATTTATCTAGTTCCTGTCCCACTAAAACATAAATATAAGACAGATCCTGGAGGAATGAATGACTGAGAGAACAAAGGCTTTTTTGACTGCCGAAATGCAACATGCACATTCATAATCTTGCAAGCAATTATTGCCTACTCACGATAAATTAGAATTGGGACAATGTGAGATGGATGCTCCTCGTTCATTGAAGATGTTAAGTTCTTCTGCAGAAAGGTAGCAGCCATGCGCCATCACTGTCTGGAGAGAAGATTGTCCTACATGGAGTTTATCATTCAAAAATGCTTACATCAGTATTGACGCAAAACAAGATAGTATAGGGAGAAACAGAAACTGTGACTGGTGGTCACCACCTTTATCAGAACAGTTGCAACAGTACAAAATCCCTAGGTATAAATCTTAGACTTCAGAAAAGGCCTGTAAAACATTGTAATACAAAAGTCTCAGCAAATTCATGAATTTCACTAGCATTTCTTTTGGTTGATCCATAAAATAATGAGGGTTTATAGAGATGATGTACAGCATAGAGTGTCCAACCAATTTGAGGAATTATGATTCTATTATTTCTACTCTAGAAAATTGTCAAACTGCTGCTTTCTTTTCTAAGTCTATGTGGTGAGCTACCTATAGAGCTATATTCACCAGAACTTTCTAGAAGTAAGTTTTCCCTCCTCAGCACATGAAAGCTGTGAAAGTTACCCTGCAAAAAATTGTTCTTTATTTCTTTTCAGTTTTAATATAGGCAACTATCTTGATACCATCAAATAATTTTTAACTCACCAATTTTACATTTTTCACAAAAATTAGGGGAATGTACTATCTAATAACCATTAATTCAGAAGGCAAAATTGGTCCAAGAAAGCAGGTACCGAACACATATGAAATATCTTTCGATTTTCAGTCTTGGAAATATTTGTGTGTTTTCTTGAAAGACTTTACTCTCAAGATTATATTTTTCCACAGTATAAAACCTATATCTAAATAGCTTTCTCCTTTGGGAGGCATGGTACAGTGACCACAGAATTATAATTTAAATAAAACTTTCTCAACCTCTGTGCAAATAAAATTAACATGCAAATTGAAGTTTAATTTATTAATTATATGGAAATATATGTAAAGAAGGATGAAAATTATAATGTAGCTTTTACATGATTTATGCAGAGTGTTAACCTTTTGAATCATCTCCATTCACATAGTAACAAAGAAATTATTTGCTGCAATAAACTCTACCTGCAGTTTGTATATTTGCTTGAAGGTCAAGGCCAAAGGGTATATTATTGTAATGAGGTCTCTAGTCACTCATATTAACTTTAATTAATTATTAAATTAATACATACTCATTTTTTTTCAAATCTCAGAACTTTAAAATAACAAGTAGAAAGCTCTGCTTTCTCCCTCAGGAAGAATCATTTTCAACATTCAATATGTGTCTTCCAGCTAGTCTTTTCCAGGTGAGAATGTATTCCTTAATACACGCACATGCATCAAACTGGATTGCACATTCTTCCTTGTAAGCCTGGACACTTCATTCTTCATGGATGTTGAACAAAATTCTAATTGTATATGTTCTATAATGCAACCAATGCCCTCCTGATACCCCTTTTAAAACTTTCATATGTAAATTAATATCCCTATTCATATTTCTTACACAAAGGATCCTTAGAAATGCATCTGCTGACTTAAAGAAAGGCACATTTACATCCTAATGGAGCTGTACAAGTGTCCTTGGACCAATGACATTCCCACCCTCAAACGAAGCCTTTAAATTTATCTACTGAGAGGAAGCTTCACGTCCATATTTAGCTACACACAGACACACACACACACACACACACACACTAGGTTTTACTCTGGTTTGGTAAATGTGTGCATTTACTTAGATTGCACCATGATACAGCATTTACCTTATTTGTCAGAAGATTGTTTCTATCATAAACATCTGTGTAGTGTTTATAATTGGGATATAAGTTTTTCACAGCTTCAACTTCATCACAATTTTCACTTATATGGCTCTAAAAGAAAAAAAATAATATTTTCATTTTTTTCCAGAAAAATAATAGAAATTCTATTTCCTGCCTCAAAATGGTGTGCTGGTTTCTACTTACTGTATAAGGAACCTTATCAATGGACAACAAAGACTGTGCATGAGTTTTATTTAAAACAATTATATGCATCATATACACCAATATATGACAAATGGAATAGCATGAACATGGTGTGTGTGTGTGTGTGTGTATGTGTGTGTGTGTGTGTGTTTGTGCATGCACATGTGTCATCTCAAGGCAAATTTTTCCAATCAAGTCTTTTCAAATTCCAAACTGTAGCAAGAAAAAAATGCAAAGATCTCCTTTAAGACAGTCAAGAGCCTTGCTGCTTATACTAATTTTTCTCTTCTGGTGTTGACTTTTAAGCAAGAGTTCAACAGCATGGTTCACTCATAAGAAAATTGAGAGTTGAGTTTTAGCCCAACGTCTGACCCTGATTATGTGTCTTAGGGCAAGTCAGTTCTTTTCTTTGAGTCTCTATTTTCTCATCTCTTAAGGAAAAACTCTAGATGAGTGATTTTCCAAATTCTTTTAGCTGTGAATATTTTAGTCAGGTTTTATGTTTGACAATCCATAGCAATCCATTATGTGGAAGGCATAAACAGGTTCAGAACGAAGCAGCATTGGGACCCTGGGAACCTGACTCCAATCTGTCTCCTTTGTTGGCTTTCTGAATGAGTTCTGCAGCAGAAAACAGTTTGGAAATAACTGAGCTGGACAATCCTGCAGTCATCGAGAAAAAGTCAATAAGAATTCAAAGCAAGCGAAACAAGTGAGTCTGGGACTCCCACACCAATCCTTCTCCAAGGTACCACAAAAGCGTTTTTAAGATGCTAGACTGGTATGGCAGTATGTAAAAACGTGGATGTGTAACCGATGTGATTCTGCAATCTGTATATGGGGTAAAAATGGGAGTTCATAACCCACTTGAATCAAATGTATGAAATATGATATGTCAAGAGCTATGTAATGTTTTGAACAACTAATAAAAAAATAAAAATAAATAAAAAAGATGCTAGACTGTAGAGTAACCACCCCAGTCCCAAGCCTAAAACAACAATCATTTCACATCAATTGGTTGTAAGTATATATTATAGGAAATAACTCATGAGCAAATGCAATGCCATTTCTCTCTGTGTGTAAGGTAGAATATACATAGCCAGATAATTTTTTAAATGATTTTCTAAAATAGCTACTCCACTTATAGAGAGAGATCTATTCCCAATCTTGAGGAAGCAGACAAATAAAATACATTGGCATAGGAAAAGAAGAAAGGACAACCAGACGATACAGGTCATTTTGGAAAATGTGAGTTTTTCTCATTTAATTTTTTTCATATAATTTTAAATGTCATTTGTATTTTATTCTTTGAGAAAGAGAAGTATTCTGTTTCCAAAGTAGAAACATCATCTAAATTTTGAATGTTATGTCCAGGAGATCATTGTGTGAGATTGAACCCAAAACTCAATTCTTATAGATCACAAATAATAATAGTATTAATAATGGGGAAGATGAGACTAGTTAATGGGACTTAAGATAGATCTTTAAAAAAAAAAACTACAATATGGCAAAGAATCAATGTATTGCCTTTGCCCAATTTGACCTTTCCTATAAGATAGTCAATTCTTAAGAGGAGAAATTTTAGTGCAGTGTGTAATTAAGTCTGAATGGGGGGAGGGGAAGCTCCCAATTTTAACCCAGCTGTTAGGTTTTAAAAGTGTTATTCCTAAATTGCAACAACTTAATGACAAAGTAAGATATACTTTTTTTTGTTCCTGATTTTAAATTAGAAACTAAGAACAAAAGGGCTTTTAAATGCATTTTTGTAAAGCGGAAATTAGGTTCTTTTGGTTTTCAAATAATAGCTGGTTCCTCCAAGAATGAAGATATGGAACACTGAGAAAGTATCAAATAAAAGAGAAGTAGGAAATAAAGGCATTAAATGTATTCTACAGAGAATAAGTAACCAGTTTGTCATTGATCTTCCTTATCAAGATGTGTTTGTCTCTTGAAGACTGATGGAAGAACATTGGGAATAAAAGGAACTTCAGGCTTCTTACTTGCAAAATTAAAGAACTGGATTAGGTGACCTTCTGTAAGGGCATTTCCTGCCCTGTTATGACTGGACTCTAGGAAATCTCAGTAGAAAAAAATGGAAATTATGATTTAGAGTACTGAAAAATCTTGCTGGTCAGGACAGAGGCACAAAACAGAAGATACCTACCTGAATGTGCAAATCATGGGTTTTAGCGATGTTGCCAAGTTCACCCATCAAAGTCTCAGAGCAGGAAAGGGAAAAACGTGGTGTCACTACGGGCTTCACTCTAAGATACTGGAAATGACAAGAAAAAAATTGATGAGGAAAATATGGATATTATAAACATGTAGCATACTTGAAAATGCATATTTCATAGCAAGGTGACTTTACTTCATTTTTGAGGACAGACCCTGATTCTAAAAGTTGGTGGAGGCGCTGGGTTTCATGGAAACATCTCACCATTGAGACTACAGCATGCTCTTCAGCACCAAGTTCAGAAGAAGAGGACTCCGTCCCAAATGACAGACACTCCTCTTCTCCCCTCCCATCTCTTCCCCTCCTCTCTCTTCTCCTTTCCTCACATCAATGTGCAAAGATGAAGTCTAGAGTGAATGACCTTTATGAAGAGCATTGGAGGCAGAAAGAGAAGTTCTTTAAAGGAGAGTACTGGAGAGAAGGCAAGTGTGCTGGGGCCTATTCCTCTTTCTACATCTTGAGGAATGTGGTGGCTCCAAGCTCCCTGAGAACTATTCTCATGCAGGAGCAGCGTTGGTGCCACCAGAAGAGAAAAGCCTTTTTTCTCTTCTGGGAGGGAGAGAAGCACTCATAGAGGGTTGGTGGGGATAAGGATCTACAAAGTTCCACCTAAGATTTCCAAGGTTAAATTGGAAGAAACTCTGAGGAATCCTGTGTGTTCCATTCAGATCATAAAAGATGGTAAGGGAAGGGTCAGGCTTGCCAGTCTAAGAAATTATCCCCTGGAGCCACGAACCGACCTGCTGCAGTAAAGGCAGGAGGTAGCATTGTCTGCCTAGGTTCACCAAGGCCAGGGCACTGCAAAGGGGGTGCCTCACTGACTGGTCACACAGAGAAGAAGGCAGCAGCGGCCAGGGCACTGGGGCTGAACAATGCTTGCTTTTTAGACCAGACCAGGGTGTGCAAGTGACCAGAAGCAGTGGTGAGGTAGCCACCAAATAGTCCCATAGCTTCCAGGTTCTACTCATCTGCCCATAACATGAAATCCTCTCCCCCATTTCGAAAGACCAGTTCTGTGAAAGCGAAAGGTCCCAGAGGAGAAGGAAAACCACCAAGAATGGGAAAGTTGCCTTGAGATGGTGACTCTCAACTGGGCAGTGACTGAGATTTTCATACTTGAGATCCACTAAAAGCTTAGGGGACATAGGATGAAATTTACCCAGCTTACTAAATCTAGTTTTTCTGTTGCACGTAAGCAAGGGCGTTGGGAGCCAAGAAAAGTACATGCAATTGTAAGAATGAAGCAAACTGCACAATTTTCACATATCTGAATAGCGATCAATCAACCCCACTAAAATCAGTTAACAGATTCCGATTTCAAAATTGTGTCTTAAACAAAACACAGTGTTGAGCAGTGTTGCACAAGCCTTCAGTAAAAAAAAGCAAAAAAAAAATGCCCAACTTTTGTTTCTAAGAGTTCAACTTTTGGGATTTCACAAATAAGTGAGTTCATGTAGTATCTATCTTTCTGGATCTGCCACATTCCACTTAATATAACGTTCTACATATTTATCTATTCTGAACCAAATGGCAGAATTCCTTTCCTTTTTAATCACTAAATAATAATTATGTGTGTGTGTGTGTGTGTGTGCAGGCACAAATATGAGTTGTATTGCATTTTTTATACACTCATTGATCCATGGACACTTAGATTCTTTCCGTATCTTGACGATAGTGAATAACACTGTAATAAAATGGGGGTACAGATATCTCTTTAACATACTGATTATATTTCCTTTACATATATATCTAGAAGCAGGAGATAGAGTTCAAAGGGTACAAATTTTCAGTTATAAGATGAACAGTTTCTTGGATCTACCATACAGGTCAGGTGATAATGGATGTGTTAATTAATTTGATTGTGAATATCATTAAACAATTGTATGCACATATCAAACCATCACATTGTGCACTTTAAATATGTGCAGGCTTCATTTGTCAACTGTTTTAAAATTTTAAAAATATTTTAAAATCTTAAAAATGCTTGACCTCAATGAGTTGGATTGACAGATCCTCTGTGACAACAATTTAAGGTTGTAAGGAAATACTTCTTTATGCTTGGAATAAACCAAATGCACATGGACCAAAATCTATCAAGCAATTTAATAAAGATGAATAGAAAGACAATTCAAACTCAAGCTGTGAACACTTTTACTTACATTCCTTTGAAGCATTTCTGACACAAATCTGAAATGAAGCAACAAATGGGAATTTAGAAAAATTTAAGCATTTTCAAATAAATGTTTTAAAAGGGTGAAAACAAGATCCTTACATGTCCTAATTTCCATGCAAACATTTCTAATGCTGCACATGTTTCATCACCACCAATTAAAGATTAATAAGTAGTAATTACTCTGCTCTCTCATTTGCAGCCAAAGATGGAAGGCAAAATCACAGGGAAATGTGATGTTATCATCTAGCATCAGTTGGGCTGTTCATGAGTATTCCCATAGCACTCAAGCTGTTCTACCAGCTCCAACTCTGTGTGGGGGAATATTGCAATATGTTGTGCTCCACGGATATTACCAGCATGGTGTCCTGTGCACCTGGAAGCATTTAGAAGTTATGGGATTCTCCACTGCTAATTCCCCTAAAGTGGAAGCTACTCACTCACATGATATCACCATTTATTCCCAAGGGCACAGTCTTGTTGGGGGAGGGTGGATATTGGAGTAAGGAATAGACCAGAGGTGGCTATAAAACATGCAGTGAATGGGACACATGGTGACAAGTGTAAATAAAGCCTACGGAATGGCTCCTTCTGCTCTGGCTGGAAAAGTTTACTAGCTATAATTTCCTTTCTTCTGGTATACTCTTTCTTCTAAATAAAATATGAATTAAGGTTTACAACAATGAATAGAGGAGTTGAGCATACACCCAGAGCTAAAGGGAAGGTGGGACCTTTCTCCCCTCTGTGAGTTTGCAGCACCCCCTATCTTCCTTTTCAGGGGACACACTGAAAGTGAGAGAGGCCCAGGGAACGGAAACAAAGTTGGGCTTCTAAAAACTTGCATCAGGATAGGTTATTTTTGGGTAAAGATTTATATCCAAGAATTTTCTTCTATGTCTCTTTGATGTTGAATATGATATAATGAAATTCCTTGTCAAGTACTCAAGGTACTATGGAAAAGCTACAGAAGATTATTCAAGAAAATACTTATTTGTTCAGTAGAATTTCTTTGTATTGAGATGAAATGATAAAAACCCGAGATCTCAAGCAATAAAATTACTTACAACCAAAACTAATCTAATGAGCAGGCCACACATACTTAAAACCAAATCCAATCTTCAGGAGAAGCACTGATCCATAATACAGGATAGGAAAGCAGTAAATTTTAACAAAAAATCCTTCATTTTACAAAGGGATTGACCTTAGGGGTCCTACAGCAAGTTCCTAGAGGCTTTAAAACATAACTTTATAGACAAATGTTGACATGAAAAATTTTTTAAGGAATATGCCAGTTTTATCTAGTTAGGTAACCAACACAGTGACCTCGGCAAATGGGAAGAGGAACTAATGCATTAATTTGTCTTCCAACTTTATTATAAATCATATGAAGACTCCACAGTGTGTTGACACATCTTGAGATATATCTACAGACTGTATTCTCAGTCTTTTAAATAAAAATTCTGCTTCAACTGTGTGGAATTAGGGGAGAAAAGTGAGAGGAAGGATGCTAAAAGCTTCTATAGAAGCGCTATTGTACCACAGGAGAAAATCATGTGTGTCTGGGATCTCTGAAAATATGCTCTACTTTAAGCCTTCAAAGTCTTTGCAAAAGAAATTATTCCTTGTGAATTTAGAAGCAACCCTTTCAAAAATATATTTACTTTGAAAAAAAAACCCAATCACTTTCTGCTCAACTCTTATTTTAAGGGATATGAGCTAGAAAATACATATTTCACAGACATTTCTATTTTCAAAAGCTGTTTTACTAAAATATAATTTACATACCATAAAATTTACCTGTTTTAAGTGCACTGTTCAATAATTTTAATACATTTACTGAGTTGTGGAACTATCATCATAATCCAGTTTTTTTTTTTTTGTGGGGGATACTGACCTCAGGGACACTTGAACACTGAGCCACATTCCCAGATCTATTTTGCATTTTTTTTTAGAGACAGGGTTTCGCTGACTTGCTTAGCGCCTCACTTTTGTTGAGGCTGGCTTTGAACTTGCAATTCTCCTGCCTCAGACTCCCAAGCTGCTGGGATTACAGGTGTGTGCCACCACATCCAGCCATAATCCAGTTTTTAAACATTCTCATCGCCCCAGTTAGATTCCTTGGGCCCATTTGCAATTAATGGGCTTTCCTACCTCTAGCCCCCGACTTTCTGTCTCTATGGATTTGCATTTTCTATGCATTTCACGTAAATAAAACCATATACTATGTGGCCTTTTGTGTTCGGTTCTTTCTCTTTGCATAATATATTTAAAGTTCACCCAGGATGTAGCATATATCAGTACCTCATTCCTTTTATGGCTGAATAATATTCTATCATATGTCACATTTTATTTACTCACTCACCAACTGATGGACATTTTGATTGGTGAATGACAATTCCTAGATGGCCTTGGTGATCTGACTCTTACCCTTTTCTTGCTTGTAGTTGTCATAGTTGAAAGCGTATGCTGAAAATTCTACATCCTGACATAAACCTAGGCTCTGTGCTTTTTTGTTCTAGGCAGGATGTCCTGGAATTCTTTAGCCCAGTGCATCAAGTTTCGCCCAGGTATAAAAACCCAGACGGAGCAGAATATCAGAGTCCCTCAGCTATAGTGAAGTTTGGGGCATATATAAACATGAAGCCACCCATCCTGGGTTACTCCTGAGCCTTGAGGACCAGCTTATCAAGAATCCTAGGCTTCTATTATCCCTTGCTAAGTATCTGTAGGTAAAAACTTGCTTAACTTTATGCATTCTGAAATGTTCTGTGTCTCACTGGACTCACTCAATTAGATTGACATGGTGCACGGTATTGATGCGGTGTATGAAGTCCTCTGCTAGACTGATGGTGTGCATTGTGAAACCTGCTTCATATTTGGCTTCTATGAATAATATTACTATGAATATTTGCATATGAGTCTTTATGTGGACATAAGCTTTCATTTTCTTTGTACATATCTAAATTTTATGATTCTGTCTGCATATGCCATCATATTATTTGAGGTGGAGATCTTTCTGAAGTTCATAATCCCTATTACATGCTCAGAAGAGCAGCAGAGCAGGCCTTGGTACCTTCTATGTTTTCTGTTTTGATTATGTGTCACCATTGAAGGTCCTCAGAACCTTTGTAGGTAGTACAGTGAGCCCACAGATGGGGAAGCAAGAAAGGAAGAGGAATCAGTATTCCAGCCTATATGTCTATACCTCACCTTCAGAAGATAACTGATGTCACGAGTTCATTTTAATGTTTCCACCATATAGCTAGAAGAACTACTTTCCTCTTTCTATGATAGGACAAAATGAGAGTGAGGGATGCATAGAACACTTGAAAAAATACTACAAGAATATAGGGGATAAGTATATTGGCAACTTTAGGTGGTTTAGTTACGGAGAATATTTTTCTTTTTTGTTGTGGAACTTAGTGATTCTCTATGTTTCGTACAATGCTCTTGTATGCCTTCTGTTTTTGTTGTTGTTGTTGTTGTTGTTGTTATTATTATTTTGTATTGAATTCAAGGTGGGATCCTCATCATCATAGAAAGAACTCAAAATTCAGAGTCATAGACCCTGGTTTTAAGTGTTGGCTCTGCCACTTAAAAGCTATGTGATTACTATGGTCTGGGTGAAGCTCACTCAAAGGTCCACATGTTGAAGGCTTGGTCCCCAGGGTGGCAATGTTAGGAAGTGGTGGAACCTTGAGGAGGTTGGACCCTGAGGAAGGTCCTCAGGTCATTGGGGACATGCCCCTGAGCAGGGATTGTGGAACTACGGCCAGTTTTCTCTTCTTGGTTCTACTTCCTGGCTCATGAGGTAAGTGACTTTCTCCATCACCTACCCCTGCCAGGATGTGCTGCCTCATGAGAGTCCCAAAGACATGGAGCCACTCGGTCAGATACTGGAACCTTCAGAAACTGAGATAAACCTTTTTTTTTTAAGTTTATCATCTCTGGCATTTCATTATACTAATGGGAGGTTGACTGATGCAGTGAGTGTGGGCAAGTCACTCAGACTGTGCCACACTCAGTTGACCTAAGACAGACGCCTCGTAGAGATTTCTATGGGGAACAGTGTAGCACTTCAGAGGAATGCTCTTTATAAATCATTAAGAATTACTAAATAATTGAGCAGATTCACTGTGGGCTAGCTGTGGACACTGCATTAAACAGAACACTCTGACCCCAACTGGGATCACACAGATCCCAACTGGGTCCTAAAAGTATCTGGTTTCTTCTCTCCATCTTGAACTCCATCAGTGCAGCAGAGGACTCATCCAAAAGACAAATCAAGACAAATGGATGTGTTACCTCTCTGTTTCCTTGATTGATTCCTCTGTGGTTTCCTTGTATTCTGGAACAGCATCATTCAAATCCATGCATACTTTGCCCACAAACGCCCGCTGCCCAAATTTATCTATGAAACACACATGAAAAGAATCTGAAGGCATGTTTCTTTTTCAAAGAGTGTGTTTTCTGAGTTTTTAAAAAGCACCTGTAAATTAAAATCACTATGACAAACACCACTCAGAATGTAAAGGATCATCAGTCATCAGGCCACTTAAGAACAACAGCGCTTACCATATTCTGTCAGTAGTAAAGTTTCTTCCTTTCATTCCACATCCCCACTCCCAGACTGCCCAGGTAATACTTGGGTGTTTCGTACTTCTTACTCAGCTTTTCTTTTTGCATGTACACTTTGTCTATATTTTTACTAATGACATAGCTTCTTTGCTCTCATTTTATCGCAAAGGAGGAAACAGCCTCATATCCCAGAGAAACATTCCAATACTCTTTAAAATGCCTACCCTCCATTTCTTCTTTCTCTTTCTTCTTTTTCATCTACTCACAGTCTGCCTCCTATCTCCTACTGTACCACCATCCTCAGGATTGAGTCTCTCTCTATATATATATTATGATCCTCTTCTAGGTAATACACAGTACAGTATAGTGATAAAAACTTGAGTGCTAGGGTTTTGGCAGATTGAGGCAGGAGGATTGTAAGTTCCACTGGGATTTCAGATGTGACCCACTGCACCCAGCTATGTGCAGGATATTAAGAAATGTACACAATAACATGCATCAGGTGACTGGCATATGGTACTCAGTGGCCATACTGCTATTCTTCTTAACTGTAGCCATGCCAGTATTATTGTCTTTTAGCTAATGCTACTAGCAAGGCTGTACTGAAGAACCTAGTCCTCATCAGAGGTGCTAGAAGAAGCATTCTGTTTCAACTATAATGTTGAAGCTACAGGGACAATTGTTTTTATAATGTCTCTATTACTATCATAAGAGTCTTTCAAAAATCTTTCTGTCTCTTTCTTTTCCCTGTAATTTATTTTAATACCTGGCCATTAGATTAATCTCTCTTAAAAATACCACTTTCATTATTTCACCCACCTGTCTCAAAACCATCTTTGAGTCTTTGATGCAAAGTTGAGCTCCTCCACAATCTGAACCATCCTATCTGCCCAACTCCTCTACCCTCCCACCATGCAAAGAATCCTCTGCACCATTGAACTCTTCTATTTCCTGCTTCCTGTTATCCACCCACCATTGATATTCCTGTCCTCTTGCTCCTGTCCATCTCATTTCCTCCCCCTGGCAGACACTTTAGTCTTTCCCCATTTTGTCTCCTCTCCAGAGTCCAGTTTAAAAGCCTCTTCCCAGATGACCCAATCCTGGGCTCTCTTTGCTTCCTCTGAAAACTGCAATATTATTTTTAGTGTCACTCATTAGGCCTCTGGCATAAACTACCTTGGCCACCAGCAGTGTCATAAGTACATCAGCAACATTATTTACTGAGTGCCTGCTGTGTGCCAGGCAGTGTGCTGGGTACAAATTTGGAATCATCAACCTAAATCCAGTCTCAGCTCTACTTACTAACCATGAAAACCTGGACAAATTATTTAACCTCTCTGAGCAGGAGTTCATCCATCTGTGCATAGAGAATATCAACACATATCTCAGAGGGTTGTATACAGATGTATTCATCCATATAGAGTGCTTCATACAATATCCGGCCACCTCGTAATAGAACCATGGGTATATTTTCTGTCTGGTTCTTCAAGGGCAGAGATTATTTTCTGTTTCATCTAACACCATGCCCTGAGTCTAGCCAACAGCCAAAACCTGCCTGTTGATTATGACATAATAACTGTTGCTACAGCTCAAGTTAATAAACTGCCCTAAAAAAAAAGCCCAAATTAATACACAAAATTGAGATCCATAAACATTATTCTGGAACCAGAAGGCATAAGTAAATAATAAAATTATTTAAATAATTAAAACACCATTCAAGGACCAAGGTTATACACAGACACTTAATTATCTGCAAAACAATGCAATGCTCAAATTCTAGCAATTAAAAGGCAGGACTGCCACCAAGCATACATTGTTGCCAGGCATGGCCTGGCTGTCTTCTCTTGATGTGCCCATAAATTGTGCTTTCATCTACTCACCTGTAATTTCCGCAAGGAGCAGAGATGAGTCAGTGTGAATTGTTCCAAAGTAACAAGCTGTGGTTGTTCCATTCTTTAGCGTTCTCCTCTAAAAATATATCACAAAAAACCCTGAATTGCATGTGCTCAGGAAAGTCACATGGCATATGCAGACAAAAATAGAATCCTAGTTTTTAATTTTAAAGTGTTTTTATTTAAAGGTATGCCATCTTGATGTGGAATATACTTAAGTGGCAAGAGTACTTATATTCCAAAAATTTTAGCTGGAGAAAAGGGTGATGCTTTTGATTTCCTAGATTCACACAGTTCTGTTTCAGAATTCATAAAATGTGATACTAATTAATTCTGTATTTCCTAGGATTACTTAAAGATATCCAGATTTTTATCACATCTGGGAGTGCATTAAGAAAATTTTCCCATTACAGAGTAAAATTATTCAGCTAGACTTCCAGTTCAACCTGACAGATTGATCACACATATCTGTCTTTTTTCCTTAACAAATTTTTACTAACATAACAGTAAAAAAAAAGAACCAAATTTACTAACCCACAAGAAGAACACAAGAGGAGATGGAAGCAGAGGAGAGATTTCAAAATATTTTAGGAAGACAAAAAACGTGGATAATAAACTGGAAACAAATTAGGAAGAAGGTAGGAAGCACATGGGCACCAGCTGGAAATTGGCTGGAAGTCTGGGCAGGGTCCTACTTCTCCCCACGGAAGTCAGTCAACCACTCTAACCTGTTCCTTGCAGGAAAGATTTATTCTTAATAGAAAGTGGATAGTACATAGAGGGTGCAAACCCCCAAACACAAGGTGAAGAAGTGGTTTAAGTGGAAATTTGGGGTCCTCTGTCTTCTTCCCATTACTTCTGAAAAGGGACTGAAAGATTATTTCCTAAAGAAAACAAATGGCTCTACAAGAAAGATATCCTCACAGTGACATTTGGAAACTATTCACTGCTGCAACTCTTCATCCTAAAGTGAAGTTCACCAATCAGAAAGTGCTACCTCCACCAGCTCTTCCAACCAGCCTCTCAGAGCACTGCACTTAGATATGAATGCATACCCAAAGTTCAACAGCTACTTGAGGAAACCTGCTATAAACAAGAGGAGGGAGGGGGGGAAAGAATCTAAAAAAAGATAAAAGCTTGGAGGAAACATAAAATCTACAAGTTCAGAAAAAAACCTCTGCTAAAAAAAGCTGATTAACATCTTCAAAGAAATAAGATCAGACATTACATGCACAAAACAAGAAGAGAATGCTATGCAAATCAGAGAAAAAGAGCTCTCCAGAAGCAAAAAAATAGTATACATTATATTTTGGAATCCAGTAGAAGGGTTGTAGGATAAATTAGAAATAATATCTTAGAAAAAGAAAGATGAAAGTCAGGAATAAAAAGATAAGGAAGTTAGGCTCAATCTCAAGAGGTCTAACATTTAGAATAAAGTTCTAAAATTGATTTTTAAAGAAAATGGAGGTGGGGATGGGGTTATGGCTCAGAGGTAGAGAGCTTGTCTACCATGCATGAGGCACTGGGTTCAATCCTCAGCACCACATAAAAACAAAATAAAGATATTGTGTCCATCTATAACTAAAAAATAAATATTTTTAAAAATTTTAAAAAAGAAAATGGAGGTATGAAATTACCTGAGATATAATATTGGTTTTCAAACTGAAAATCCTTACTGAATTCCCAGCACAATGAATTAAAAATAACCCAAATAAGCTATATGATTGTGAGATATTAAGTCCATAAATACAGAAAGAATCTAAAAACGGCCAGAAAAAGAAAATCAACCATAGACAAAAGACAGAAACCACAGTAGCACTGGGTTTTTCACCTACAGTTCTAGAGGCAGAAGAAAAATGCCTTCAAAATTCTGGAGAAGTTATTTTTAATGTAGGTAGGATTTATAGCCCGGTAAAATATCAGCCAAGTGTGGTTGTAGCATAGAGACATGATTAGATATTAAAAGTCTTGAAATCTTTACCTCCCATGAACACTTTCTTAGGAAGCTTCTAGTAGATGTGTTTTAGCAAAATGAGAGAGTGCCACAAAAAAAAAGGAATTCCTGAATTCAAGGAGAGGAGGGGTGTTGGTCCAAGGGCACAAAGCTTCACTCATGAAAGATGATTCGCTTCCAGAGATTTAATGTACAGAACAGTGGCTGCAGTTAGCAATACTATGCTATTGTATATTTCAAAATTGGCTATTATATATCAATTATATTAAAATTATATTATATATATAATATATTTAATTATATTAAAAGTTTTTACCACAAAAGAAAAAAAAAGGGAAGGGAAACAACTTTTGGAGGTGATGATATCTGTGTTTATGATCTTGACTATAATGGATTCATGGTTGTATTGTGTGTTCATCAAGTTATATTGTATATTAATTATGTACAGTTTTTGTATGTCAAATTGTACGTCCATCCTACTTCAATAAAGTAGTTAAATAAAAACTGAAGAGTAAAAATAAAAACCACCAAATTCTAGCTAGCAATGGAAACATTATACAGACACTGTCTTGGGGTCAGGCCTGGATGAGAAATTGTAGTTTCATATTGGACTAGAATGAACTAAAAAGACTAGAAAGTTCAGGAATATTCCCAAACTAGAGTCAAGGGACAGGACAGAGATAGCCCAAAGAGAAGGGAGGAAGGACAGAAGGACAGATGAATGGAAAGAAGGAGGAAGGGAGGAAGGGAAAGAGCGAGAGAACCTTAAAGCTACCCATGTTTGTTCCCACTGAGCTCAGCTCATTTAATAAACAGGCCACACAGTTATTACTTATGTAACAAAAAAGAAAATAAGAGTTTAGCTTAAAATCTCACTAGCCAAGCTATCTTTTTTTTTTATTGGTTGTTCAAAACATTACAAAGCTCATGACATATCATCTTCCATACATTTGATTCAAGTGGGTTATGAACTCCCATTTTTTACCCCAAATACAAGTTGCAGAATCACATCGGTTACACATCCACATTTTTACATAATACCATATTAGTGACTGTTGTATTCTGCTACCTTTCCTATCCCCTACTATCCCCCCTCCCCTTCCCTCTCATCTTCCCTCTCTACCCCATCTGCTGTTGTTTAATTCTCTCCCTTGTTTTTTTTTTCCCCCTTTCCCCTCACAAACTCTTATATGTAATTTTGTGTAACAATGAGGGGCCAAGCTATCTTAAATGCAGCTACTTTCCTTCTTCATCAGTTCTGTGTTTGGCCTTCCCAGGTCCCAATTCCACCCTAGCTTTTCACAAGCTTTATAGAGAGCTATCAATGACTATTTTGTAATTTTTCCATGTTTAAAGAAATCTGTCAGGAACAACATCAAATTATGGGCTATGTTTCCCAGCCTTTCTTCGGCTTCCAATTCTTGACGAAAAGAATTTTGCGACTAAGTTTTATGAGCTGAAAAGCAATTCCAAACTCAAGATGACTATGAGCTTCAAGCCAGTAGCAATGGCCTTTTAAAAGGTGGGGGCAGGGGGTGATTCCCACTTTTTTTCACCCTGTACTATAGTGACTTCATATTTCTTTGGAACTGGTTGAATTCCTCCCTTATGCATCTGCCCAATTGATGAAGACCCCATAGAGCAAGTATGTTGATTGTATTATGAGAAGAACAGTTTCAGCTAGTTTGTCTCAGTTCATTGACCAAAGAAAGATCTTATTCTCTTTGTCCTCTAACTGTAAAATAGGCTGATTCCTGAACTTTCTTGTCATTTTAGTTCATTTCAGCCCCATTTGAAATTGTAACCTCTCATTCAGTTTGCAGTACTGAAAGGGAAATATTATTTTTAGGTTTGGCTTACTAAGAGTTTTTTCTTAATTTTAGGAGACATTTGCTAACATATACTTTATTTGAAGATTGTCACTACTGGCATAACTTATGGAGCAAATTGGCTGATGTAGATCTATGACTGTTTCTGGGGGAGAGAAGAAAAAGAGTAGAATTATTGGTTTTACTCATGAGAACTTCTTTTATACTCCTTTGCATTGCCACAGGAAAGCTTAAGCCAAGCGACAAGTTCTAATGAGCAAATCTCAACATTCTTAAACAGATGTCAACCTTACTCTCAGCTCATCCAGTTGTTAATATGTGAGCCTATTCACAATCTGAAATATATATGCAATATATATATGAAATATATATGCATCAGGAATTAAGCCTATTTTGTACTCACTAACATCCAATACTTAAATCTCTGATGTAAGAACTAATATTTGCAAATCATTGCCTGAAGGATATATAGTCCTTGATACCCATCCCTCTAACAGAATAGTTTGATACAGCTGGGCCTTTTGATTCCATAGCTACTTTATAGTACATATTTTGACAACACAGAAACTATCCACATTAAGGTATTTGGGGATTTATTTTCTAAATTTCATTGTAAGGAATGGACATGCTTTATTTTAACAAATGTGATATTTTTAAGTCACACGCAGAAGGTAAATTTCATGGATGATTTAGTTCTCCGGATCAGGTACTAGACATTTAAAACCTAATTTTTGACAAACTCTAAAGAGTGTATCCAATCCCACACTCCCATGGTATACATTGACTTTGTGACTTTATTTTATTTTTCCACTTTTTTTTTCTTCACTGAGATTTGATGACTCATTTTCTTTTGCTGTATACCGTGCAATTTCAAGCTATCTCAAAACCGTTTTAGAACAATGAGGTATAAATAAATTTTGAGAATAAAGACTTGGTGTGGTTAACACAACTCATTAAGACAATGTTCCAGCAACTTCTTCCCAGTTATCCTGGTGTTACATAGATGCAGGCTAACTATGTGAGACCCACAATTACACTGGATTTATAATTAAGCGAGTCAAGTGTATAAATGTTACCACTTGCTTCTGCTCTTTAAGGCTGGGATGATGCAAGACCAGGGGAACTGGTAGGGTGGCTAGGCCAGTCACTGTGGAAGGCATATAATACTGTCACTACCACGCAATCGACACCTTAGGTGGAAAACTATCAATGAGTCCAACAAACAGTGGTGTACAGACCAAGTGTGCTGAACAGCAGGAAGTGGTGGAAGAAGAAAATACACCTGAAGTTCTACTTCTCTGCTGCGGAAGCTGTTTCTGGTTGCTCAGTGTGGTCTGGTTCTGGGCACAGGGTTGGATAGAAAGAAAGGAGCTGAACTGCTTGAAATTGTGGAAGGAAGGACATTTTCAGAGTTTTCCATATGTGATTGGCACGAGACAAAGCTCATTGACTAAATAGCCCCAGAGTTCCCTCTAGTGGTGCTAATGCTCAAGTCACATCCTTGTGGGTCTTTCAACGTGGCAGCATCCTATTTTCCCTCCTTTTAAGCCTACCAAAATGCATGATATTCTTCTAAAGGTAATTTAAAATTTTAATTTCAAATTTCTTTGGGTATTTTTTTGAACAGACACATAGAGCTCTTACCATGTACTATTTTAAGAATCTCACAAATATTAACTTGCTGATTTATCATAACAATCCTATGAGGTAGATACTATCACTATTATTTACAGATGGGGAAAGTGAGTCACAGAACTTTCCAAAGGTCACACAACTATTCCATATGATCCTGAGAACAGCATTATGAATTGGCAAGAATAAGGGAATACAAATAAGCATTTAAACCTAAATTTGGTAATGTAAAATATGAGGCATAAAAGAGAGTAATGAAAAGTCCACCAGATTGAGGATTTGGAGACTTAAATTCAAACTCTCTTCTTGCCACAGTCCAGCTGTGTAGAGGAGGTGGTCACAAACTCCCTGGATTATGGAAAAACTTTTTTTAAAAAAATGCTATAGTCCATCAAAGCCTTAACTGCCTAAACTTTATAACTTTAAATCTGGCTTGGAAAGGATATTTCTATAACCAACCAAGCGTAATACAATACTCACACACAGGATACTTACGACAACTCTGGTGTAGACTTCTTCAGCAAAATCCATGCTCTGGAATCTCCGCTCCACAGGAAATGTGTAGTTGGTCAGCCACTCCAGAAGTGGCAGGTCTACATTACTTCCAGCAAAGAAATACTGAGGGGCATGAATGTGTGTATCCACTAGCCCAGGCATGAAGAACTCACTGGAAATTAAGATGACAGGAAAGGCATTTAATAACATCTTTATTCATTTTGCATATCTTCAAAATCACATATTGTCTTGACAATGATTTAATTGTTCATCCTACACAGGTTTATGGCTGATGCAATCTGACAACTGTGCATTGTCAGGAAATGGGAATCAGGCTCTGTTGAGAGATATAGAGCTCTAAGTTGAAAGGACAGGTATGAGGGTAACCAGAAATCACCAAGGGAAGGGAAAGCACAGCGCTGAGCAGAAGCAAAGCAGTCGTAGCACAAAAAAGGAGGGAAGTTATGACCTAATTCAACTATTTAGTTCTCACAACTCGTAGTTGTAAGGCAGAGAGCTAAGAAAGGAGAGGAGATCTGTGAAACTTCTAGAGCCATATTGAGGAATACACAGAAGTCACTGAAGGTGACTGAAGATGAGAAATATTGGCTGCAATTTTAGGTGCAATGTCATCTTGATCTTGGCGGGCTGCAAGGAATCTTGTCCTTGGCCATAACCTCAAGGGGCTGAGTTCTGAAAGGAAGCAGCAGACTGGGGCTGGCTAGGGACAGGTGAATTTAGAAGACAGAAGTTTGAGTGGGTCATTGATCTGAATGGCTAAGTGAAGAGGGGGCTGTGACTATCATTCCCTAGATGTTTCTGTTTATTGTTGCTGTTACCCTCATCCACCAATTACTTTTCACATTTCTACTCATTATTATACTAGAAAGTCTTGGAAAGATATGAAGAGTTTTCAGAAGCTATCTGCAGAATGAAGGCAGCCCAGTGCCGGCAGACACTCAAAGCTCTGCTAAAGAGCTAATTTAGTTCACTGGTGTCTATTAAGTGTCTAAACTTACCAAACAGATACCTGTTAAAAGTTGATACGCAGTACCACTGCTACCACTCTAACCAAATGTCAAATCACATAAGGAATTTGAACTTAAAACTTGACATTGCAAAGAATCTCATTTCCAAATCGAATGCATAGATATACTCAGATGGAAGACAAAGGATACAGGAGTCACTCTAAAGGTCTTATTTTAAAAGGAGAGCTGGAAATGGTGATGAAGATGGCAGTGGTGACAGCAGTTAGTATTTCCTGCATATGTATATGCACTGGGAACTGGACACAGCATTGTGGGTGCATGATGGCATTTGTGGGAGACAGGCTAGGTGTAAAAAAAAAAGAAGAAGAAGAAGAAGAAGAAGGGTTAGGTGTGTGCATTCTACTCTCAAGACTGTCTGGATCTGAAGCCAGGCCCCACGGTCACCCTGCAGTGGGATGCCTGACATGTTATTTAAACTTCCCTGCATCTGTTTCGCCTCCCATAAAATGAGGACAGGAGCAGCACGTAGCATTGTTGTAAGGACTAATACCTGTGGGTAAGAGCAAAAGCTAGATGATGGACAGCATCAATAAATGTTAGTAATGACGATGATGTAACCTCACCACAAACACCAGGGGTATGAAAATAATAACCTCATTTACACTAGGGTAAATGTAAGCTCAGGAAATTTAAGAAGATTGAAAAAAGTAATCCTACACTATTCAGCTTTGGAATAGAGACTCAGGTTCAGCTTCGGAATTTTGAACCTTTTATTTGTCTGAAGCCTCCTTGCTCTTGGCCACTATACCCCATGTGACAGAATTGTTAACTCCCTAACAATGGAAATAGAGAACAGTGATTACTTTCAATCGAGGCCAGAGGGCAGCATTAAGTGAGTCTATAGTGTGCAGAGCTCTGGGCGGTGGGGGTGGGGGGGGTTAATTCCTCTCAGGTGTCAGTCACTGACCTCTCAGGGTTTGTCACTTCTCAGGGCTGTTGCTTCTTCCATGACCACAAAGTGGAAGAGCAGGGTAACTTCTTCCTACAGTGAGATGGTTCAATCTAATGGTATTTCCCAAGTATGTTTAAGAAGCTCTGATAAGCCTTTGAGGGGAGTCCAAAGAGATTTAAGGCATTTTCTTGTCCTCAAAGATTTATATAATCTTATATAATCCAGTTGGGGATTTTAGGGGTGGTGTGTGTGTGTATGTGTGTGTATGTGTGTGTGTGTGTGTGTGTGTGTGTGTGAAAGAGAGAGGGTGAGGAGGGGGAAATAGAGAGGTAGGTAGATTGCTCAAACATTAAGTTGTCCTAGTGAGCAATTTCACTTCTAGATATATACTCAAATAAAACAAAAGATAAGCTTACAAAACAGATTGTACAAGAATGTTTGCAGCAGTTTTATTCATATTAGTCCCAAATTGGAAACTACAGCAAAAATAAAACCACCATAGGAAAAATGGGTAAACAAAGTCAGTACCATGGAACTCTTCAGCATTAAAAAAAAATAATCAACACCCTTAACTACAATGATACAGATAGATCTCAAAAACATGATTTTGAATGGTAGAATCCAGACACAAAAGAGGATATATTGAGTCATTCTATGTAAATGATGTTCAAAAACAGGTCAAAGTAAACTATATGATGGAAATCAAACAGTGGCTGCCTATGAGGGGTTGGAGAGTGACTGACTTGCAACGGGCTTGAGGGAACTTTCTAGAATAAGAGCAAAATAAGCCAATCCCATAAAACCAAAGGCCAAATATTTTCTCTAATGTGCGGATAGTAATTCACAATAAGGCGGGGGGGGGGGGGGGGCACTAGAGAAGAATAGTGTTACCTTAAACTAGGTTAAAGGAAGTGATAGGAGGGAAGGGGAGGGGATGTGGGGATAGGAAAGATAGTACAACAAAACAGACATTATTACTGTATGTATATATGTGACTGCATGATCAATAAGATTCTACAACATGTACACTCAGGAAAATGAAATTATATCCTATCTATGTATGATATATCAAAGTGCATAAATGCATTCTACTGTCATGTATAACTAATTAAAATGAATTTAAAATTTTTTTTTAAAGAATGTTATATATCTTGATTGGCATATTGGTTACAAGGGCACATATATTTGTCAAAACATCAAATTCTATACCTGATATCTATGCATTTCAGTATATACATTTTTTTTCTTTAAAAATATTTTTTAAATATAAGGTCTGAGTATTCAATTTACTGAATTATCATACATCTGTTGGCCAAGATAGAAGGGATCACAGGGATTTGTTTCTTTTTGTTGTTGCTTTCTTTGGCACATTGTGATAGGCAGGGTTTGCAATGATGAAACAGGAGGTGGTAGGCAGGGTTTGGGGAGAGTCCTATAGCTTCCCAAGCATGAAGTTTCTGAATAGATTGTGTTAATGGGAATAGAAAGGAAAAGGATAATTATTAGAGAAAGAACCTGATCTTTATTAGCTCTAGCATACAGAATGGGTGCATTGCATGGGGTGGCCTTGCTTTATTAAATCAACTCTCATAAGAACTCACTTACTTTGCAAGATCAGCATTAATCCATTGCAAGGGAGGTCATGACCCCAAAACCTCCCAGGAGGCCCACCTCTTAGTAGTTCCACCAGCTCTCAACATTGCCACACTGGAGACCAGGCTTCCAGCACATGAATTTTTGGAGGACACACTCAAAACATACAGAGCAAGAGCACATGAACTCCAAGAAGTTATTGGAGATATGGGAGCGGAGATCATGTGAGTTAAAAATGGGATTCAAACTTGAGAGGCTTCTTTTATCAGTTAGTGGGGCCAGAAATTTTTGTGAAAGTAAAAAAAAAAAAAAAAAAAATGAAACCTTGAAAAGTAGCCTCCACCTAATGAGGAAGATGGAGGAAGAGAAAAGGTCATGATCCATCTTGGCAGAGATGTTGTCAGGATAAAAGGGACCCAGGACACAGAGGTGTCAGGAAGAGTAATGAAGTGGGAGTTTCAAAAAGGGTCAGGACAGTGACCCACGACAAAAACAGCAAGGGTCAAAGATATGTAGCTTCAAGAAAGATCCTGAGACCACTCCCCATGCAATGATTGGGGGAGATACCAAATTTCAGAGGAATAGAGTCCTTCTTTTAAAAAATACTCACCCACTGATTCTCTAGCACATTTTAGTTACTGTCCTAGGTGCTGAAGACAGCATTAGTGTTAGAGAATGTATGAAATGGATGGAGAGCCCTTTTACCAATGTTTGGTAGTGAAGGGCAGGATGGGGGAAAATGCAGAAACCATGTTCATGAAGAGCAGAGATGCAAGAGTGAGGGAATAATTCAAGGCATAACAATCTTTAGAACCAACAGAAGAGCAGGAACTTATTGGATCTAAAGTATGACTTTCACCCAGAAAAGTTACAAGCCTTTTAAGAAAATAGGAAGCCCTGTGAAATGCTCATTAATACAAAGATTGGCATAGTCAAGGTTGAAGTATGGGCTTTATTACAGATATCGACATGCCTGTGTGAAATGTGAGAGAGGTGCCTGTGAGATGTGAATCATCAAGCCTGCCCACTCATTTGACAAAACAAAGGAAGCTGGGAATGGCAAGCTTATTTACAGACTTGTAAACCGGTGGCCCAGCTAGGACTGGAACTCAGTTCTGCACTTATGACATCACTGACAGCTGAATGATAGCACCAAGAGCCAAGTTATAAGCAAAGCAGAGAGGAGGTTGAAGGCCACAACAGGAGGGGAAATGGCTGTCCTTCCTCCCTCTGCTCTTCAGATTTTCTCTTTCTACTTAATTACTGCAATAATTCCCCTAGGAAAGCATATCAATTTCACCAAAATAAAAACCATCAGCTTCATATTCCAAACCTGTAGTGTTGGCTAAGATATCTTATAACCCAAGGAAAAAGAATAATACACACCCATATGTACACTTATAAGAACATCCCAGTGACTCACATGTGTTAGGTGAGCACTCTATCACTGAGCCACAATCCCAGCCCTCCACCCATTTTTTAACCAAATGGAAAACATTAACAGAAGATCTACAATCAAACCACAGTACTGTAGCTACAGGCCTGCATTGCCCAATTTCTTTGCATACCATTAACACCCTCATTCACTTGCCCTGCCAGGGATGTGGGGATGCAATGGTCCCACAAGTTTGGAAACCCTGGACTGTCTAAAAGAACAGTTCCATTGTGCAAGAAAACTCAAGGTTACAAGCTATCAAAAAACACCTTGTCTTTATTTTGTAAATGAAATTTTGTAATTTTGTTCATCATGAATTTTCATTATATTTTTAAAAAGATTGCATTAAAGTATTATTTATCTTGATTACTAAAGTGTTTGCCCTCCCCATGATCTTTCAATTTTGTGATGAAGGTAAACACTTCACACCCCTCACCCTAATTCCAGCCCTGTGAACTTTCCTATATATGGTTTATGATCACAATTTGACCCACTCCTACCCAGTGCTGCTTAGGCTTACAATTTCAGTTGTGATTTTCTTTTTATAAAAATCCACATTGTACCAAGATATACCTGTAGATACACTATTAGGACCAAGCTATTAAAAAAGAATATCAGAGATATTATTTTCTATGATATTTTAATGACTTGGAGCAATTCTACCGTATGTATCTTGTGTGTATGATAATGAGTTATTTTGCATTTTAAATATAATTTTTCTTCAGATATTTCAGTCTCCCATTGAAATTTAAATTATGTCTTGCCTTACGACTTCTGTGTGTAATGCCTATAGGGGCCTCAGAATCTGAATTTTTAACGAATTTAACTCCAAAGCAATCTCATAAAGAGGGACAAAAGCATTTGAAGATCCACAGGGAAGTAGACCCCACCACCCCATCCTCTTGTCTCCCCCAGACCTCCACTTTGTCCATTTCCTAGCCTTCCACAAAACCCTGTTACAAAGGCAGACAGCCTTTGTTTCTCAAAATAGATGCTTAAGAAAATCCAGCAAGCAGAAGAATCAGTAAGAGCAGAAGTTGCTGTATTAATGTCCCTGCTTATTCCTCACATACTTTCAGGTTACCAAGAAGTAGAAGGAAAGGGAAGGAGGGAGGAGATGTGAACGCAACTGCAAGGGCAACGAAACTGTCGCCCAGTCTCCGGCCTTGCAGCAGAGATGAGCTTAATAGCTGAGATGACAGCTGCAAAGCTGTAGCATGAAGATTCACACTAGGTTCTTCTTGCTACATTAGCCTGAAGTCAATTTCTAAGCATTGAAAGCATCTTCACAATGAAAGTGCTACCATTCTTATTGACCTTGGAAACATAGTTGGTCTGAAACATGATACAATTTTTGAGCTTAAAATAAGTATTCCTATTTCCATAAAACAAAGCAACCAGGCTGTGAAGAAAGTGGGCCCACCACAGGAAACACAGCTTATACAAATATTAAAAATCACCTAAATTGCAGCTCAAATGCACTTCTGGGCATTGGTCTTCCCTAACCATGCTGTCAGAGTGACTGCATCTCAAATGCTACTCCCCAATAGTTTATTTGTCATTTGCCTCCTCCCCCCATTTACTTCCTGACTGGAGACCTGACAATCTGCTATTGTCATGCTTAAGTATCTCTTTACATGAGGCTGTAAACCCCCAAGAGACTTGGAAGATAGTGCTACAACAAAAATTCCCAGAAGAAATAGATGGAAAATGGCAACTTCTGGTTCTCAAAGTTCCTGTCCTCCATCTTCCTATTCTCCGTGTAACTCCTCCTTTCCATCTCTCCCATTATATGACTAATTAATTAATTTAAAAAGCCTTTCTCTCAAGGCAGGTTTCATGTCATTTGAGCCTAGCCCATGGCACCCGGTGAAAGGGAGAAGTCGGTGGTGACTCACTGGTGGCTCAGCTCTCTTATTTCACACGGCTTGAAGCACCATTCTTTGGCCAGTTTTTCTTGTTGAGATGCTTCTTCTAAAAACACTATCTTTAAAAGAAAGAAAGAAAAAAGATTACATATTTATAAATCACAGTCATTCGTTGTCATTAAATATATAAATCTTTTTAAAGGAGACCACACTGTCACTGAGTTAATTTTAAGAGGTATTTGATACTAAATTGGAGAGAGTTGAAAGGCAGAAAAGAGAAGGGTTTGTTTTTGGTCATCTATAGATGAAAACTGTGTGAAATTTCTCCTGTTCTGTCACAATATAAGACATATGTGAGATTTCAAAAAATTCTAACTTGAAGAAACAGCATATTAAAAATGGCTTATTGGCATGTTTCTCCCCCACTCCTGAAAATGATTAAACAAAACAACTGTTATAGAAAATGTGCCTTACTCCAGATGCGTAAATGACTTTTGTGAAGCTGCAATAGGAAATCCCAGCTCATTGCGCAGAAGTAGTGACATTGTGGGGCAGAGTATTAACACTGAATTTAACTGCACGTAACAATTGCCTGACAATTGAATCTTCATTTGACCTATGTTGATTTTTTTAATTATTTTTTTGTAGCTGGACACAATAACCTTATTTTATTTATTTATATGTGGTGCTGAGGATCGAACCCAGGGCCTTGAACATGCGAGGCGAGCACTCTACTGCTGAGCCATAACCCTAGCCCCCGACCTGTGATGATATTTGAATGCAAAACATCTTCTGAAAAGAGTTCTGCTGCATTTTCCTAGTTTCATGTGTGTTCTGCTTTGGATGTGAGATGTTCTCCAAAAGCTCACAGGTGAGACAATGCAAGAAGGTTCAGAGGAGAAAGGATTGGATTGTGAGAGTCTTCACCCAATCAGTGCATTCATTAATCCCTGATGGGATTAACTAAGTGGTAACTAGAGGCAGGTGGGGTATGGCTGGAGGAAGTGGTTAATTGGGGGCATTGCTATGGGGTATGTATTTTGTATCTGGAACTGGAGTCTCTCTCTACTTCCTGTTGTGAGCTGCTTCCTTCTGCCACCCTCTCCCACCACAAGGCTCAACCTCACCTTGAGCCCTGAGGAATGGAGTCGGCCTTCTATGGACTAAGACCTCTGAAACTGTGAGCCCTCAAACTTTTCCTCCTTACAGTTGTTCTGGTCAGATGCTTTAGTCACAACAGTGAAAAAGCAGACTAAAACGATGTGTAAGAAGTAGACAGGAAAGACACCTCTCCTCACGTAAATAAGAAAGTGAACTCTTCATTTAGACTTGTGAGGTCTGAAGCCCAAGGGCAACAGCCAGGCAACTGTGCATGGATCTTGTACTACTTCTTGATCTGGTTTCCCCATCTGCACACTGGGGATAAAACTAGAATGTACTTCATAGGATTAAGTAGATCATCAGGGCCAGGAATTAGCATGTACCTGAAACATAAATGAGACATTATATCCATTGTTATTCCTTTTTAAATTATAATTATTTTCTCTATAAAAATAAATTATAAAGCAAGAAAGGATAAGAACTGAGATTCCTATGCAGAAAAGATTCTGGGATTTATTGATTTGTTTGTTCTTGTTTTTGTTTTCCTGTAGTGCTAGGGATTTAACTTGTGGTTTCAGACATGGTAGGCAAGTGCTCTACCACTGAACTACATCCCTAGTCCCCTCCCGTTTTATCTTTAACTGGAATATTGTGAGAAAAAAAAATGTTTCATTGAACAGGAAATATTGAGAAAAACTTGATATTGATAAAATGTATGCAATTAATTAGAAACAAGTCAATATGTATAAGATAATTTGTAGAAATGAAAAGAAACTAAAATATTGACTTCTCACTTTATTGAGATACCCTTTTTAAAAATGAAAATCTGATCAGAAAAGAAAATGGAAGTATAATTCATACAATTATTAAAAATTAATTTGATTTAAAATATATTAGAACATATAAGTATTTAAAAAGGAGAAATCAACAAACATCAAAGCAGATACGTAATTAATCAAAAAACAATAAAAGCAGAATTTATCAATACATCTCAAAAGTAATTCACTGCAAAATCCATAAATAAATAAATATAGATAAAATTTGTGAGGCACTATATTAAGACATCTGAAAGAATTTGAAATAAATGGTCTTTGAGAAAAACATACATGATCAAAGTTTATTCTGAAGAGAGGAAAACCAAATGAACCAATAACTCCAAAAGAAACTGAGAGTTATTAACCCTTTAGGATTGCACACAGTTCAAAACAATGGTAACTAGTAGAAATATAATGTCTGGTAAACAGATATGCAATGTAAAATTTTCTGCTAATAAGATGAAGTGTTAAAAAAGCACAGGTGAATTTAATTTCAATAATATTTTATGGCAATGTATATAAAAGATTATAATTTCAACAAAAGAAAAATTAGATTAAAAATAAAAATTAATTTTATATTCCCTTTCCTTTAAAATTATTTAATTTTTATTAAATTGTTATTTAATAAATAATTTTATTATTTATCAGAATGTTTCTTTAAAATTACATTTTTCATTTTAAGTACATTTCAATCTCTTCCTAAAGCTTTATCCAAAATACTTCTGAATATTTAGATGGCATATAACATACAAACAGTAGACTTATACACCCAGGTTGTTCCAAACACATTTACAAGTTTTTCAAAACTAAAATAAGTATTTGCTTTTAAATGTAAATTTAAATTAATTTAATTAAAATTAGATGAAAGGTAAAATTTTAAAATTTAGTTCCTAAGTCTCACTATCCACTTTTCAGGTGTCTAAAATACAGATATGGCTGGAAGCTACTGTATTAGATAATGTAAGTTCAGAGAGTTTCATAGTAAAGGGATGAACTTCTGTGCTAGGCAAAGAGCTTCAAAATATGGAGGAAAACAAAAACGTCTCTATTTCTACAAAGCTAAAACAACCCTCCTACCAAAACTTACCAAAGATTACACACATGCATAAACACAGATATGCAAAAACAGAGAAAGACAAGCCAATGTCTTTTGTTATTTAATGATACAGATGCAAAGAAACAGTCCTGATGTCATACTGGCAGTAAAAAGCAAAAATACATTAAAATAATAATTCAGCATGTCTGCAGCATGTCAGCCTCCATTATTCTGACAAAGTGAGAAACATTTATCAACTTGGGCAAATGGCCAACTCTTCAAAGACTGCTGGAATAAAGCCACCTCTCTCCCTTTCTGTTTTCCTCAGTCAACACCCAAATTGGAATGCACTGGCTCCTCCCATTCACACCAGGGATCTTGATTTGTATCATTATCTTCATATAGCAAAACTCAGATTGTGCTTAGCAAAATCTCCACTGTGATCTCTTGTTACTGTGGCCTTCCCCTATAAGCAGCAAACTCTCCTATGTCTTCAATATCAGCTCTGTTCCTCTAAATTAATAAAGGGGACTCCCTCCTGATAATGTGGTTTTTCAAAGGACAGATGCTCATACCTCAGGGTCAAGCAGTGAGTTTGGAACTGTCTGTTCCCCATGGCCATTTCCAAACTACTTTCCTCCACCTTAAATCTGAATCCATAAGACTTTCCCCCTTTTGGTTTCAAGGGCATATTCCTCTCTCTGGGGTCCTCTTTTTCCAGCCTTTCTCTCTTTCTTCAAATTCACTAATGTCTGCCTCAGGCTTCCCCTCCATTCCACACTCTCTTCCATTCATTATGGTTCCAACCTTTCTGACAACCATGGTCACCTGTTTCCATGAGCTCATCTTCAGTAATTTGTTCCGCTTCAGCTTCAGCCACAAAACCCGTGACCATCCCTTGGACATGTTCATGACCTGTAACTGCTCCAACTACAAAGTCGCCAGATATTGTAGGCAACCATTTTGCTTTTTCCTCTGTGCCACTTCAATGATTACAACCAATATTCTATCTTAAAGGGTTTTCCCTTTACTTTCTCTTCTACTTTTCCCCAGCCCGTTAGCCTTCTTCTTTCACCATTGTGAAAGAATTGTCCAGGTTAGATCCTACCATTTATTATTTCGTATTTCTTGTGTCTTTTAGTGCAAGCACATCTTGGTTGGTACAATTCCAACACTGATGAAACTAAACTCCCTTTCTCTAGGCTGTACCTGAGGAGTAAAGCAGTGCTGAGGCCAGGCATAGATGGACTGTCCCTATGTCATGGACTCAAAGTGTTCCCATCAACACTTGTTTCTGGTACACTGTGGTTTTTACTGTCAATCAAACTGACAGGTAACCTAACTGCTTATCAACTGACAAATCATTAAAGTTTTTTTATATTTTTATTTTTTAGTTGTAGTTGGACACAATACCTTTATTTTATTTGCTTATTTTTATGTGGTGCTGAGGATTGAGCCCAGGGCCTCGCACAGGCTAGGCTAGCCCTCTACTGCTGAGCCACAACCCAGCCCAGATCAGATTTTTTTAGGTGATACATTAATATACAATTTTTATCAAATAATTAGGAAGGAGTTCAAAGAATTCATCAAGTTTTGCTATGATAAAACTTTTAGCATTCCCATCTACTTGATTTATGTAAAAATGTTTCTTAGCATTCATGTCTATAAAACTGGGAAATAAAAAAATAATGCTGTCCCTATTTTACTCTACCAAGAAGTAATAGTCATAGGTATATTATCTAGTTAGTAGAAAAAAAAACAGCCTTTTTATTTTACCTGTAACAAATTACCTTTCAAAATTTGTAATATACATTTTTTAATTTCTCTGTGTTCCCAGCAAATTTTAGACATTTAAATTTATGCACACTAATTTTATTTCAATGATTGATCAATAAGAGACTTTCAAGTGTAAAAATATATTGCCTTAGCTAAAAACTAGAATACAATTAGTAGTTCAAAAAGAAATATATAAGATTTCAGATCAATAAAAACTGAGCTAATTCATGATTTTTAAAAAATATATATATTAAGATGGATATCAAATCATTATATATTGATTCTTTCCAAAATATTTTTAAGTAATACCTTGGCTGAATTTTAACATGTGTACATTTAGAATTTTCTAGAAATTATGGACTTTACATATTTAATAAAAATAATACACATT